AGCAATTGAAAGCTAGGAAGTCAGTGGCTGATGGATGAAAAAGGAGCTTGGGCCAGGCACTAGTGAAAGATGATCGTCAGATGACTTAGGTGGGATTGGCCAACAGATCTAGGGCTCAGGGAGACAGGGAGAGTCCCCATGAAGACAAAGCCTACCTTCTTGCTGCTGCTTGTGCTCTGTGGAATAGGCTTTGCCGATCATGGTCCAGACAGGGCGCAGACAGCCGAAGAGGCCTTCCAAGAAGCCACTGCCGCTCTGGCACTGCAGCCGCACCTCGTCTGCTCGAACTCTGGATGCCCGACTCTCAGGGGACCCAGTAGCTCCCCCTGGGCCCCCTGCATCCTGTTCATGTAGCTGCAGGACACTGTTGGCAAAAGGCTCAGGGGGCGGCTCTCCACCTGGGGAGGGGCTGGGCCCACCCCCGCCCTGCCCACCCAGCGGCACTACATCTCGAAGTACACACTGGGTAGGTGTCAGGTCCTTCTCAGGGGTGCAGTCAGAAGTGTCTGGGTCCAGCTTGCGCATGGACGCCTCGCTCAGGGTGGACACGAAACCCCCAAAGGAAGGGGAGGGTGTGCGAGTCTCATGGAGGCAGGCCATGGCCTCTGGGCCCCAGTGTGGTGGTGAGCGGTGGGCCCTGTGGGAACAAAGGAGGGAGAAACGGTCAAAACCACAGGTACACCAGCTCAGGATGCTCACCCTAGAGGCAGAGGCACGGCATGGGTTGGGGAGCTAGGCTCCCTAATGGAAATAACACTTGAACCTCACCCTGAGGTACCCATTCACCTCCCAGTTTCACCTAGGAGCCATCTTAGGAAACCTGATACACAGGCTTCCTCTAGAGCATCTATTAGTAACACAAATCTTCCTTACTCAGGTATACAGGTAATACATTTGAGTATCATTCTCAGACACAGTAACAGTCCTGCTCAGGTACATACTGGTAAAATACATCTCAAATTCAAGTATTATAGTAACAGACTACTCTCTGTAAGAGTACTGTAAGTTGCCTCTGGAGGACATATTTCTTTTATTTGAGGCTCATATGCACACACATCATATAAAGGTCTCAGATATACACCTTTTACTTTGAGTCTCAACATTAGGCACGCAAAAGTAACACACCAAGGGCTCCGTCACACTGGAGCACACACAGGTGACACTCATAACACTGAGTGCCACTCAGGTACTCTCAGATGACATTCCTGGGCCTCCTGCATACAGGTGATGCACCTGGGCCTCACAATATTGTACTTACACATGCTACAATTGAGGCTGTAGCAGAAACACTAAACTCAGGTGAGAGTCATCCTGAAGCCCACTCAGGGCTCATATCTGGTCTCCTATAAGGGTGCTTACAGGTACACACGGGGGCCTCTTCAAGGTAAGTGCAGGCTATAACCAATCAGCTCCACTATCCTCCTAGCACAGTTGGGGAATAAGGCAGAACCATTGATGGGGATGTAGAAGCTGTGCCAGGACAAGCTGTAGCCTACTGCTTCACCCCGCTTAGCCCCCCAATCAGTCCAGCTGTTTCTCCAAGGGTCAGTTAGAGAAGACCCTGCCTCCTCTTTCTTCATTGTCCCATCCCCAGCTTCTCAAACCAAGACCTAGCTTTCCAGATGCTGAAGATTTGTCCCAGTTCACAGCGGGATGCTACTTAAAAAACAATCATTAAAAAATCTGAATCCTAAAAAAAACAAAACAAAACAAAACCCCACACACATCTGAATCTCTGAATCCTAGCCTTGCCTCCACCACTTGCCAGCTATGTCACTTCAGGCAAGCAATATTTGAGCCTCAATTCCTCCAACTGTACAAAGGGATAAACTTGCTATCATTCAGGCACAGCTAATTATTCAATCTATACCAGATCTGGCCAGAGCTTGACACCGGGCGTAATTCTGCTCTCCCATCTCCTTCCACATCTAGTTAATTACCAAATCCTGAAATATGAGGATTCCTGAGGCCAGCAATCCTTTAATTGTTCCTCATAGTAGGGTCCTTCTTTAAGCCCCTGAACCAGAGCCTCTGAATCACATTGAGAGGAGTGGCAGGAATCTCACTGGACGATGATGCAGATCGACATGGAAGTCTGGCACCTCTGATGGTCTCAGCTCTTGGAACAATTACCAGGCTTCTCAAAGGCTTTTCAGTGGGTGTGGGGTAGTCCTGGAATCTGTGTATATAATAAGCACCTCAGATGATTCTTATTAATGCCTGGAAAGTTTGAAAAGCTCTGACCTAACGCCATTCTAATCTCTTCTCTAGTTCCATGTTACTGCTTTAATTCAGGCCTCATTAGCTGTGTCACCTGGCCTAGGACAACTATCTCTTAAATGGTTTCTAAGTTCCTCCAAGGCCCCTCACCCCATTTTCCACCAGCCTTTAGAACGATCTAAAACGCAAAATGGCCAGCACCCGCTCTTCTGCTTCAAACCTTTTAGTAGCCCCCATGGCCCTCGGTCCAGCCACCTCATCTCCATGCTCTGGCTCCTTTCCAGCTTCATCTCCTACTGCTATTGGTACCCAGGCCATACAGAACTGAGTTTGACATCAAGATACATCAGGCTTTTGTGCCAGGGCACCTAATGAGAATGGCTTTCACAGAAGGCTTACTGTGTATGTTAGCCTCTGTCACAGGCACATTAGCTCATTTAATCCTCAGAACAAAACTAAAGTAGGCATTCTTCGCCCATTTGAGAGATATTATCAAATACCTTGCCCAGGAGGACTTAGGTAGAAGAGGCTCAAGCTCAGTCCCCAGTTGTGCTCTGCATGGAAGGCACTTCTCAAGCTGGATCTCTTGCTCTCTAATCTCACTTCATCTTGAAGTCTTCCTCTCTGGGCCTGCTGCTCTTGAGTTACTGTCCCTTCTGGGCTGGCACAGTTCCCTATGCTTCCTATCATGGCTCCCATTATCCTGGATGCACAGTGTGGCTGGGCGTCTGGCTCCTCTGAGAGCTATGATTTCACATGGGATTCCAGAGCTTCGAACAGCACCTGGCGCGCAGGCAGGTGTTCAGCAAGGTGGGACCACTGCTCTACCCACTCCAGAGGATCGTCAAAGAGCCATACCTACACTAGCTATGCATAAGCTCCTTCATTCCTCAGAACCGCCCAGTGAAGGAGATACTATCATTGGTCCCTTTATTCTTGAGAAAACTAAGCCTCAGAAAGCTGGTCAGAAGTCAGGTTTAGCCTCTGAATCCCCAGCGTATCTCACGAAATATCAGTGGCTTCAAGAGGTTACATGTACACTGTAATGCAAATGACAAACACAGGCCAAACGACGTGCCAATACACCAAAGAATTTCCTCTGGAGGACCTGAGGGATGTTGCCTGCGCCCCATTAGCCAGGATTCCCTTCTGGACCACTGAGAACACAAGCCGGACTCTCGGGCGCTCTCTCGGTAGTCCAGCAGGGCAGGATGGTGGGGATGGCGTTTAAGCACGAGCTAGGGCTGCTTGCTTGCCCGCTAGAAATCCAAATCAGAGCCATTCGAGATGGAGAGGAAGGGGTTACTGGCCCAGCGCCCCCTCCCCCTTCCCGACCTCCTTCCCGGCGGTCACGTGGCGCGGGGCGCATGGCTGGGGGCGGGGGCCGGGCAGCAGGAGGAGGGGTCCGGGTGGGGAAGAGGGGACACAGCGGGTTGGGGGAAGCGCTGGGTGCTGCGGCGTAACCATGACGACTGGGCCCAAGGCGGCGCGTGAAGTCACCAGGACAAGATTAGCCCAGGGTCACGTGAGCAGCGGCGGCGGAGGTGGGGCTGCGCCTGAGCCCCGCCCCTGGCGCGGGCTGGCCCACGTGCTTGTTGCCGGGATGGCTGCGGGAATCGTAGGCTTGGACCGCGGTCCCCCTTCGCATCTGTGCTCCCCTCCAGTCCATACCTCCCTCGACCCCGCATGCAGATCTTCGGCCGGGGCGGGACTGTTGAGCGATTGTTGCTGGAGAGCGGACTTAGGTTGGCATTGGTGGTGCAGTGCCACAGAGAAAGCAGGAAATAGGGAGAATAAACAGAAAGAACGACAGACACAGTTAGAGGGAGAGACTGAGCTGAGAGACACAGACCGAAATAGTGTGGAGCAAGGGAGAGTCAAACCTGAGAAGGAGGGACTGAAAAACTGATTTTGAAAAGCAGAGAAGACGCTGAGAAAAAGGCGATGAAAAGGGATTGAAAACGCGGAGATCATTTGCGCCCTCCCCAATTCATCTTCTAGAAGCTGAGCCTTGAGAAGGCACAACACCTGGCTTTTTAAAAGAGTTTTTCATCCTTCATCTGGTGTTTGGCTACTAGAAGGTCTAGGCATAGAGAGGGTGACAAGCAGCCGAGCCTCCCTCCAGTTCACCAGGTTCCCCGGAGGGCCCTCTGGTATCTAGGGCCAGCAGCTGGGGAGAGAGGGAGAGAAACCATTTCACCTGCTTGTCTTTTAGAGCAATGGGAGCAGCTGAAAAAAGAGATGGGACCAAGGGAAAGGGCGGGAATCTAGCCAGGCTTAATCCACCCTCACCCTGTTCTCAGGCTAATGATTACCAGATTGACCTGAAGGAGTGGCAGAAAAAGCTGAGACCCCCCAAGAGATTCCTCTCTCCCAACACAGTTTCCTTTCTCTGACCTGCCAGCTGTGTCCCACTGCCTCCCAGCTAGGCCTTTGCCACCAGGACTTTGGGGGGGGGATATGGCTAGGAGCCCCTAGTCCAGACATTCGGTCACCCTGGGGGAGGAGAGTTGTCTCCCCTGCTATCAATTATGCACAGCATGGGGGAAGGGCAAGGATGTGACAGGAGGGGGTGGATATCTCAGTCAGTCATTCTGTCTACTATATTTGCCAGTGTTTACTGTGCTGAACTCTGCTACAAAATGGGTGAGGGGGCAGATTGGTACCTAAGCTACACATCTTCCAGAGGAAGAGGCTCTTTGGACACCCCGGGAGGCCCTAATTCAGTTTCTGCTACCAGATTCTCTGCTTTGGTGTTGGTTCCCAGAGTGCCCCTTCAGGAGGCTGCAGAAGTGGAGTGGGGGCAGGGAGTACCCTCCTCGCCCTTTAGGTTCTCTAGCCTGAGATGTTGAAGGTCTGTGGCAAGGGAACTCTTTGAATTCTCTCACTCCCTCCTGTTCTAACAGCAGAATTGCAATGCCACGCTGCTTATCTGGCTGTCTTGGGGGCTCAGTTAAGAGGCCAGGCCAACTGTCTAAATTTTGAGCACTAGCCACTATCCTGGACCTCATGTGGCACTCAGGAATAGGAGGAAGTTTTCTCTTTTGAATGGGAGTGGGGAAGGAGGTCTTCACGGGGTCAGGAGACCCAAGGCCTTGGAATGCTAGTTCCACCTCTGTGAGCTTTGAGATTCTGAGAGGATGAAGGACTCTGGCCACTTGACTGCAGCTTGTTCTTGTTTTACTTCTTAAGGAATCCATGGTCCTGGCCCCAGGGTTCTTCTCAGATGAAAAGAACTACAGCTTTTCTCAGTGCCTTCAAGAGAGAGAAATGCCTTTTCCTGAGAACCTGGGGAAAACTGGAGATCTCTCCTAAATCCAGACCTTCAGCCTCATACAGGTCAAGCCCTGAGACTCCTAGTGGCCACCACATCTTCCAGCAGGGGCTGGAGGAGAAAGGGGAAGTACTGTTTAGGGGAAAAAAAGAACCATCTTTGGATTTGGAGAGATCAGAACTAGAACCTCAGTTTTATTACAAATTAGTATAAGAGCTGTAATCTCTCTGAGACTCCCAACTCTACTTCATGGGGCGGTGAAGGTTAAGTAAGACAATGTAGGGAATGCCCTGAACACAATGCCTGGCTCCTGGCTTCCTCTTCCTGGTTGGCTGGACATCAGATCTTTCTTTGTGGATTTTGGAGAGGCCATGTCTTCTGTCTGACCAGAAAAAGGGAGACTTGGTCTCCCACCTTCTACTTCCCTAAGACAGATCTCGATTTCAGGTCCCAAGGGAACCAGGTCACAATGGCAGTGGTATGTTAGAGTTCCCAGTCATTCCTCTACCAGATCTATTGTTCTTCCTCTGCAAATCCTGCCATCCCACCTCCTCTGAATTGAGGGCAAAGGCCCAATTCTTTGCACCCCATCCTCAACCTCTGGCCAACATGGTCCAGGATCACCCCTTAGCCCTACCCCTTAAGGTCTCAGTGAGAAGGAGAGGGTAGGAGCAAGATATGAAGAGCCGTGGGGCTAACAAAGGGTCTCTTCTGCTCAGGATCTCAGGAGAACCTGGAAGAAGTTGAGCTTATTTTAACAGTTTCTGAGCTGAATGTGCATTTTAAAAGATCCTGAAGGTTAGATACCAAAGTGTAACATTTTCTGGGTAGCTGGAATGGTGGGTGTTTTTCTTCATGTTACCTATGTATATTTTCTAATGTTTCAATAGTAACTTTGAATTGCTTTAAAATGAATTTTTTAAAATCTATTTTAAGTTGAAAAAGGAAATGAAAATAGAGTGTCCATCCATTCCTCCCACCTAGCTTGAGACAATGTGCTAGAGAGGGAGGGTGGATGGCTTGAGAATCAGAGAGGCTTGGTTGGCATCCTGTCTTTGCTCTTGACCATTTGGGCAACGTAGAGTATGAGACTTAACAAACCTCAGTTCCTTCATCTCTAAATGGGGACAGTGGTACCTGTGTCACACCGTGGTAATGCAGTACATAACATGGTGGGTAAGAACACAGGCTCTGGGTCGGTGAGATCCTAAACTCTAGCCATATACTGATTTTTTCACTTGAGCAGATTACTTCTCTAGTTAGTTTCCTCATCCCTAAAATAGACAAGATAACACTACCTAAATCTTAGTCCTATTATGAGCATTATTGAGATAAGCCAAATAAAGTTTCTGGCCTAGTACCTGGCATCCAAGAAGCCCCCTATAAGCATTAGTCATGTGCAAAAAGTGCCTGGCAAGCACTAGTGGGGGTTTTATATATGTGATTCCCATCCTTTTTTTTCCCTTTTCCTCTGCAAAGCAAGAGGCAGTAGAGAGGGTACAGGTGGAAAGGGAGGTGGACAAACACGAGGGAAAAAAAAAGAGCAAAGAAATAAGAAACCAAAGGACAAAGGCTCTTTATCCTGGATGACCCTTTGTCTCTTCTGCAATAGTGTCTCTGCTTCTTCATCACCTATATGACCCAAGTCCTTCTGGGAGCAAATAAGGCAGACAGACAGGTCTCTGTGGCCAACCTTTCATGAAGCCCCTGTGTCCCCTGCTCCATCATAGCCACACTTTACTCCTGCCCCAGCAGGGACTCTTGAAGGGATTGATTTCTTAATCCCTTCTTTCTTCCCAGTCCAGACAGGGGAGATGCAGCACTGCACATGATGAGCCATTTTGCCATTAAGTGAGTCCAGGGTGGAGGGTACTAGAATTTAGGGTTCTCTTCCTGGTAAAGCCGGGCTACCATGATTGTCACCTCAAGGGGAAGAACTGGAAACAGCGGTTGGATTTTAGAGGGGTTCTGCCATCGTCAGCTATAAGGACACCCGGGAAGCCCTGAGCCACTTCCTTTCTTCTTGCCTCCTCTGCCCATAACTGGGTTTAAATAGGGGATATTTAGTTGTGTGTTTTCATGTATGCTGGAGTTTAGACATCACACAACATTGGTCTTCTCAGCATCACCTCAGTTCCCACTGAGAGTAGGTGAGTGGCAGGCTTGAGAAGGCAGCTGCTTCTCTCTTAAGTGTGAGAGGAGAGTGCAGGCCCTAAAGCTCAGAGGAATTTCAATGTCTGGATGGGAAGGCCCAGGGTGCACTTAGGCCCTTTCCTTCCTGAATGATTTCTGCTTGGTATGACTATCTTCTCTTAGTATGATCCTCTGGCTGAAAATCCGAGCTCCCAGAGCCATGGGTTCACTCTGCAAGTTGAAAGGGAACTAACTGCAAGTCTGTAGAGGGAGGCACTGACTGTGGCTTAGAGGACTCTGGGTGGGGAAGAGACCTCATGTGCACTCCCTCCAGGTTGAGGGCCACTCACCCACTCTCCTCCCAGGAGGGAGCAAGTAGTGGAGTTGAAAAGGAGGATATTCTACTATTTCCTTCCACTGTCTATAGAGCCTCTGACCTCTTCTCTTCCATCCTCTCTGCCAAGGCCATTGTTAGCAGGCATCTCAACTCTATGGAAAGGGTTCTTGTGTATTTTTAAGCCAAAGAGTTTGAAGAATGTATGGGGAAAAGGGAGGTTCATGAACGGCCTGGGTTGGAGATATGGGTTAGGGGAGCCAGAAGACATGGAGAGAAAGAGGAGGGAGAAAGACACATATGAATGGGGGAGGGTAGGATGCAACAGCTGGATGGAAAAGGTGAATACCACAGCTGGAGGGGATTAGGGGCTTCAAAACGGAAGAGGAGGGGGACCATGCCTGGGCATCCAGGAACAGATGCTCTCTGCCTATAATACTCAGGTGCAGCCTGCTGTGTGTGTGTGTGTGTGTGTGTGTGGCAGTGGGAGGGGGGAGGATGAGGGGGTCGGTGGGCACATCAGGCCTTGTCTTTCCTTCCCTGTTAGGGGCCAAAACTCTTCTTCCACCTCCCCTCACTCCCCCCCCCTTCTTGAGGATGAGTGGGAGGAGAGGAGGATGGTGTCTTGCCCGCTACCCTTAAAGTCTTTCCCCTAATCATCCCCCCAAACCCATGCAGTCCTTTCCAGCTCTCGAGGTCCTTCATCTCCAATCTAGGCCGCGGCGTCCCTCTGCTCTGTTCCCCTCCTTTCCATCCCCACAGGCGTCGGGTCCAGGTCCCCAGTTTCTCCATCCTCACAGCCTTAGCATCCCCGCTCCGCCTCCTCCACTCCTCCACATCTGCATTCCGACCCTCCTTCGGCACCCAGATCCCAGGACCCAGACCCATCCCTGGCCCCCACCCTCCACAACTCGGCCCGGCTCTCACCTCGGGGGCTCCGCGGCCGCAGCACAAAAGGCGGCGCTGCTGCAGCTCGGCTCCGGATGCTGCTCCCGCCTCCTCCTCTATCTCCTCCTCCTTCTCTCCTCCCCCCGCTGCCCTCCACCGGACCCAGGGCGCTGTCACAGTCGATGTTCGTACGGTGTCTGGGAGTACGGATGTCAGCCACAGATTTCTTCCCCCACCCTCCGACCCCTAGCTTCGTCCCCACTCGGCTTGAACTCCCGCTCCTTCCTAGGCCCCCGCCCCTGGCCCCCCGGGACGGACACGCCCTGAGCGGGGGATGCTGCGCTGGAGCCGCCGGCCTCTTAAAGGGGCCCGCTGCTGCCATCCGGCACGCACCAGTCTTGTCCCTGGCCCGTCTCGGCCCCTTACCTTCCAGCTGACTGTCCCACCTTGGGCCTTACGCTGATTCCGTAGGAGCCCCCTACGATCGGTCTTATAAACTCCCTCCTATACCCTGAGACAGCAGCCCCTCATATAGGAACCCCGCCCCCCCGACATACACACTGTAGAGTTGCTCCTCTTGTCACATCTATTTTGCCAGCTTTCCTTCCCTTAGTTGTCACCACTCCAGTTCCACCCAATGGGAATCCAGTTAGCTCAATGCCCCGTCCCCCTCCCGTGTTCCTGGATGACCCCCTCCTTATTATTCCAAGATTCCTCTAGACCTCCACCCCAGGTTCAGAACAAGGTATCCCTTCTTCCCTGACCCATTCTCAGAACACTCATAAGAACTAGGCATTTTTCGTGATCTCTTTCTCTCCAAGGTCACAAGATTTTTCTCTCATCTTTCAACCCAGTGGTTGCGGGCCTTTGGGGAGGAGGAAATGGAGCTCTGAAAAACCCAGGTTAGTCGATTAGTTTTAAGAGACCAAAGTCTTGTCTTGCTCTTTTCAACTGAGAGACCTAAGACCCATAGCAGAGGTAATGAGACCACCATATGCCTTAGCCCTTCCAATTCTGTCGTCCCACTATAGCCTGATGCTCAGGCTCCAACAGTCTCCTGGCCAGCTACAGAAAGGTTCACTAGGACCATTCTAAAAAGACTTTAAAAAAGAAGTGGAAATCCGGCAGGTTGAGGGGCAGAATTAAGGGGAAGAGAGGTGAAGGACAACCTAGGAAAAGGAAGCAGGATCTGAGACCAAGGCCTGAAGGCCAGGGGCTAATGCCGATGGCTGAGGGGTAAGTGTGAGATGGACTCGGAAATACAAATGTCCCAGCGCTCTGAGGCGGTCAAAGAACAGTCCCCTCCCGCGTCCAGGTAAGGTCCATTCTCCCAGACTGCAAAGAGTAAGGATCTTACGGCGGTCTCTCCTCTAAACCAATCACAACCCTTTCTTAAGAAAGAGGTGGGGTCAAGGGAGCTGACTCTTTCCTTGTCCCTGCCCCTCTAGGTGAAGTAACCAATCGTAATCCACGTAGAGCACGTAAGCGCAATAGGGAATAACCAATTACGCCGGGAAGCTTCTCGTGCATGCTTCACCCAGCCCCTCCAGCTGCGACAAAAATGGCGCGTGAGCGCCTGGGTGCTGTAGTTTTCTCGGGATTCGAAGGCGCGCCCCATCACAGCTCGTCAGCCCTTACCGCCCCGCCCCCAGCCGCTTCCACTCTAATACGCATGCCTAGAACCCCCGCCCAGGGGAGAGAAGACACGGAAGGAGGCGGGGCGATATTAAAAATAAACAAACAAAAAACCACCCTCAGCTCGAACAGCAAATGTGGAGGGGTCGGCGCTCCTCCCAGAAGGCGGTGTTGCCTGCCAGGGCGAAGCACGCAGAGCGTTGTGGGACGGATAGCTCCTCTCCTCATGGAGACTCATGGAATAGGGTGGGCGGCTGACTCCATATCCCAGCATGCCCCGCGTCGGGCCCGACCGGCCACGACTCGGGGCTTGGCCCCGGCCCTAGCTCGTCAGCGGTGTATTAGGGCGCGTGGAGGCTGCAGTCACGGTGGCGCCCGCGGGGACGGAGGAGGGAATGAGTGAAGAGGAGCAGGGCTCCGGCACTACCACGGGTTGCGGGCTGCCCAGGTGAGCCGCCCCATACCAATCGCTGCAGGGTGAAGAGCGCGGTACGGTGCGGAGGGGTAGCGGCGCGGCCCCAGCATGCATCTGGCCTGAGGGTTCTTCCCGGCAAGCACTGGGGTACTGGGCCGTGGTTCCCGGCATGCACCCGAGCAGTGGTCACTGCCTTCAGCTCGAAATAGTTTGGGATTGGCCCGGTTCCCAGACTGCACTGGGGCGCTGGGCTTTATGCCCCCGACATTTAGTGCATTTGGTGGGTACTGGGTTCCTGGCTTGCACTGTGTCTCGGGACATGCACTTCCAATCTGCACTTGGGTACAGGATCCCTCGCCTTAACTGAGACTGGAACAGTGCATTACCCGCAGTGGACCCTTCTTTCCCAGCCTGCACCTCTACTCCACATTGAACCCAGCCAATGGCTGCTGTACTGCCTAGGGTCCCTTGGACCCCTCGTACCCCAATAGTGTGCCTGGGTCTGATATAACAGTGCTTGGCCAGGTGGGTGCAGAGAGGGGAAGTGTGATGAGGATCTGTGCCCCTCCCCCCAGTATAGAGCAAATGCTGGCAGCCAACCCGGGCAAGACCCCGATCAGCCTTCTGCAAGAATATGGGACCAGAATAGGGAAGACGCCCGTGTACGACCTTCTCAAAGCCGAGGGCCAAGCCCACCAGCCTAATTTCACCTTTCGGGTCACCGTTGGCGACACCAGCTGCACTGGTGAGGAAGTTTTGGGCAGCCTGACTGGGATGTGCATTCACAGGGCCCTATTGGCTTTATTTCTTGGAATCTTTTCAAGGCCAGTAAGGGAAGGAGATATTTCAGGGGGAAAGGCCACTGACTGGATTGGGAGAACAGGTCTATGAAGAGGTAGGTAGAACTTGGGAGAATTAGAGGAGCAAGCAGAACTGCCACAGTGATCTGGTAGATCGTCATTCTAGAGGAAAAAGAGGAGATAAACGGAAATCTCAGCGAAGTATTTGGGGAGTGAGTGCCAGCTGTGCTGGGCTCTGTTCTAGGTGCTTAACTAAATTCCAATTTAATTATAAACCTCAGTCTAATCTAGTAATGTAGGTCGTAATATCTTCATGTTGAATATGAGGAGACTGAGGCTCAGCGATTCAGTGACTGGTGCAAGGTCACTTGCTTAGTGTCAGAGCCAGGTTTTGACTGTAGACTCTCAGTGGGCCCCAACTTTTCGGCACCAGGGACTGGTGCTCCTATGAGAATCTAATGCCTAATGATCTGAGGTGGAGCTGAGGTAGTGATGCTAGCGCTGGGGAGAGGCTGCAAATACAGATGCAACTTCGCTCACTCACCCACTGCTCACCTCCTGCTGTGCGGCCCAGTTCCTTACAGGCCACGGACCAGTAGTGGTCCAAGGCCTGGGGGTTGGACCCCCTGCTCTAGAACCTACCTTCTATTTTTCCAGCCATCCCCATTTATTGAGAGAAAAGAAAGTGCTTCCCAGAGGAAAGTAAGGCAAAAAAGAACCTCCACCCAAAGTGTCTGAGCTTAGGAGTAGTTCTGCCTGGTGTAGCTTGATTTGGGGAGTTCATGGAAAGATAAGGGCCTTTCCTTCCAGCAATTAGTGTAACTCTTCCAGTCTTGGGCAGTGGGAGGTCGGTGAAAGGGGGCTTGTTTGACTCCCTGTGGCTGTGAGGAGAGAGGCTGTGGGATGCTGGTTTCTCTTCTGTCCTTCCAGTGACGTCCAGTATTGCCCACACCCCCTCTCTCAGGTCAGGGCCCCAGCAAGAAGGCAGCCAAGCACAAGGCAGCTGAGGTGGCCCTCAAACACCTCAAAGGGGGGAGCATGCTGGAGCCGGCCCTGGAGGACAGCAGGTGAGGGAGGAACAGCTGAGGCATCCTAGAGGCCTTGCCAGGAACCCAGACCCCTACACCAGCCCCTCTCTCCAGTAGGCCTGGCCTTGTAAATTTAGCCACCTTGACCTGGCCTCTTCCTGAGTTTCCTCTGCACCTGAGCAGAATGCTTCCGGGGCTCCTGTTGTGATCAATGATTCTAGGGGGAATGGCCAGTCCCACCGAGGGGTTGTGACTGTGGTTTGGGGCTCAGGCTAGGGAGGGAAGGGGTAGAGGCTGAGCCTGGAGGGAGTTGCTGCTCCCCAACATGCCTCCTCTCTTTTTCTGCACTTAGGTCGGAGTTTGTTACTCCCATGGTTCTTGGGTCAAAAGAGACCCTCTTCCCTCTTTCCTCAGTCTTTTTGATCTGGTGTTTGGCAGCCAAGGATCTCAGAAGGAAGAGCTGGTGGTTGAGCTTCCCTGAGTCTTTGGCTCATGTGGGAAGCAATTATCTTAGAGGATGGGCAGATCAGGAGGACCTGGGTCCCCCACCCTTCCTCTACTCCTCCCACCCCCAGTAGGGTGTGAATCAAAGGCCCCCTTCCCCTCGGGAAGTTCTTTTTCTCCCCTAGACTCTTCACTGCCTGAGGACATTCCAGTTTTTACTGCTGCATCGGCTGCTACTCCTCTTCTGTCTGCTGTCCCAGCCAGGTATTTTGTGTCTCCTGACTGCCTGAGGGGGGTTGGAAGGGGTCCTGGCTCCTGGTCCCCCAGCCCTTGGACCCAGGCTAGTCAGGCGTAAGGAAGTCTGAGAGTAAACAGAGGCTGAAATAGTTGAGGACCAGTTTGAAGAATTTGCACCAGCTGGTAAGCTCTTGGGACAAGAGGTAATTAATGATTTTTAAATATCCATGTGGATGGTATTTGACCATGTTTAAGGGTCTCGCAGGCCCTGTTTTCTTTCGAGTTGGCCCCATGATGGTTCCATGATGTGTTTGAGTCCCATCAGGTGCTTCCAGGGACTGGTTATACAGCCCCTCTCCTACTGTCCTGGTGAAGTGATGATCAGATGTTCCAGAAAATCAAAATGAGCCTGAGACCTGGAGGAGACCTCACTTGTTGGGGAGGGGGAAGGAAGTAGGCTGCACTTTTGGACAGACAGCTGCCTGCCTGGTGGGAAGTAGGGAGATGGTAGTGGGGGAAATGAAAACAAGGCTTAGGACTCGTGGGCAGCTGCAGAAGGAACCAGCTCCCTCAGCTTTGGCCCTGGGCCCTTTTTCCTTCAGGAGCCCCCCCATGGAGGTGCAGCCCCCTGTCTCCCCTCAGCAGTCTGAGTGCAACCCTGTTGGTGCTCTGCAGGTGTGGCCCCATCCTCATTTCCTGTGCATGCCTGTCTTCCCTTGAACCAGGGACCATGAAGGAAGGATATGGGGGGCGGTTATCCTGTTCTGAGAGCTTTTCCACCCTCTTTATTCCTCTTCTAACCTGGAATCTGAGGCTTCTAGGGTAGGAGGGAGAGGATATTGGATTCATTTTTTACTCAGCCTTGTACATCCTTGTTTCTCCCTTCCAAGGAGCTGGTGGTACAGAAGGGCTGGCGGTTACCTGAGTACACGGTGACCCAGGAGTCTGGGCCAGCCCATCGTAAAGAGTTTACCATGACCTGCCGAGTGGAGCGTTTCATTGAGATTGGTAACTGGGCAGAAAGGAGTTCTTGCAGCTACTATCCCCCAGAACTCTAGTCCCGGGCACAGGCAGCTCCTAGCTTCTTTCTGCTGTAGCCTCACTCTCCCCGCTCTGCTCCTTCCTCCTAGCTTCTTCCTTGCATGCTATCCTTCTTTCCTCTTCTGCCAATCAGGTACTCAGGTGCATGGCAGGTCCTGATCTTTTTCCACTTGATACCTCCTGAGGGAACCCTCAAACCAAGTTTGAGTTGGGTGTAAAGCACTTAGTCTACTGGGAGTCATAATCCAGTAACCCTCTCCCCACATGCAGGCAGTGGCACTTCCAAAAAGTTGGCAAAGCGTAATGCAGCGGCCAAAATGCTTCTTCGAGTGCACACGGTGCCTCTGGATGCCCGGGATGGGAATGAGGCAGAGCCTGATGATGACCACTTCTCCATGGTGAGTGGCTTGTGGGCCATCCTCCATACCAGGCCTCTGGGGACTCAGGTCTATGACTCGGGAGTGAGCCCCTCTGAGTCCCAGGCCTGCTTCTGTCCGTTTTCCTATCAGACTCAGGGTTCCTGGGCCCCATCTCAGCCTCAGCTGTAGGCCTGTCTGGTGAGTGCCGTGGGGAAGCTGGCCCAGGGCCGGGGCCCTGTAGACTGCCTAGCCATCCCGTCTGGGATCTAGTAGCGAGAGGGGGCCATACAGGGATTGACTGAGGGGAGGCAAGCTGGAGGAAGCATTCTTTGGGCTTATCTCTCCTTGGACATTGAATGTCTGTTAAATGCCTGGGTCTCACAGCCCATGGCCACATCGTTCTCAATGTTTCCATCTTGTCAGGGTGTAGGCTCCCGCCTGGACGGACTTCGGAACCGGGGCCCAGGCTGCACTTGGGATTCTTTGCGAAATTCAGTGGGGGAGAAGATCCTGTCCCTCCGCAGCTGCTCCCTGGGTTCCTTAGGTGCTCTGGGCCCTGCCTGCTGCAGTGTCCTCAGTGAGCTCTCTGAGGAGCAGGCCTTCCATGTCAGCTACCTGGATATTGGTATGGCTAGTTGCGGGGCTGGGAGATGGTGGGGGACTGGATCAGAGCAAGTATAGATGGGTATAAGGAGTCGGGGGGACATGACCATGACGTGGGTGCACCCCTCCTGGTGCAGCCTTCCCACCCAACACTGTCTCCCTCCTCTCTCTTGGTCTCTAGAGGAGTTGAGCCTGAGCGGGCTTTGCCAGTGCCTGGTGGAGCTGTCCACACAGCCAGCCACCGTGTGTCATGGCTCTGCAACCACCAGGGAGGCAGCTCGTGGCGAGGCTGCTCGCCGTGCCCTGCAGTACCTCAAGATCATGGCAGGCAGCAAGTAAAACTCCAGCTGGACTCATGGATGTGCACCTTTGCTTTCTGCTCTTCTCGCCCCCTGGCCCAGGCATCTGTCCAGCTCTGGTACCCCCTAGAGGTACCACCATCTCTACCTCTGACACAGACTGCCTCCCTGCAGGCTGAGGAGGGCACGGGGCCTGGAGCCAGGGACCACGGCCTCAGGTGGCCCAGGATCGATCCTCATGTTAATGGTGATGATGAAATCAGGGGCTTTCTCCTAGAGCCCAGAATAAATGTGCTGCTTGGATTCTTAACTGTTTCCCTGAGTAGCTGATGGCAGACGAGGTGAGTGCCAGATCACCTCCCCCGTGGTGCCTCTCCACCTTGTTCCCCACATGTCCCCATGTCTACCTTTCTGGTGGCAGGAGGCTGGGTGTAGTGGGACCTCCGGGAACCCCATCAGCTGCATTCCTGGAGAGTTTGGTGGAAATGGAGGAGCTGTGGTTCTTGCCTTGGGCTCCTTCCCAACCCTTTCAAGTCTCAGACACAGACACCTGGATTCAGAAGCTAGGCAGCTTTATTTGGGAGGACACATAGCACTTCGGGGTGTGGGCTTTGCATGCAAACATATCAAGGAATGACATGTCACTTCTTCCCAAAGCGCTGAGGTGCAGCCAGGCTCCAGAATGGGGAGCTCAGTGCGTCCCCAGCTTGGGGACTCAGCCATTTGTTGTTCCAGGAGTCCCAGGTGTTTCTGCCAAACCTTAGAAGAGAACGATCCTCAGCTGTAGGTTTTTCCGGTTCCCCCTTCCCTAACTCCCTGCCTGCCCTCTCCCTCTGGCCCCGGTCTTGCCGGTGTTCCTCTCAGACTCACCTCTGGGGCTGAAGTAGGAAGGCTCTGCCCCGGACAGGTCTCTTCTGCAATGACCTGGAGCAGGGAGCGCAAAAGTGACCCAGGGGTCTGGGCATCCTACTGTGGGTGGAGTCCAGTGTCTTCCTCCTGTGGTACGGGAACATCCAGATGGAAGATTGGCAAAGGCCTTTGACATTTAGGTCACAAAGGGAAGAATGTGGCTCAGATGTGAGGACCGAATGAAAACCTTGGCCACTAGAGTGTTTGAACCTAGAGCACAAGTCTCAAGCTGAGGTAGAGGAAAATGGTGACATGGGGCTGGGGGTGCTAACTTACCGCAAAGATCTGATCTCTATCCCAGCCTCCTGGTCCTTCAGCGTGCCCCTAGTCCGTTATTAACAGCAGCGCCACCAGCAGCACTACCGCCTGCCTGGAATCCATGCTGTCATCTGCCTTCTGTGGCCACATCTGCCTCTTATACCTGCTGTCTCCCTGTCCCCCATCCCCACAGCAGCCTGAGGGGGGAATCTAGAGCATGCAATGGAAATGCTCAGCTCCATTAAAAGCCCCTGGGATCCCCTCCCATGGCCCCCTGGGGACTTCCTGCTCTCAGCCTCCGGCCCCAGCCCCTAAGCCCGGAGTTGCAGACTTTATTAGATGCATAAATCCTGTCTCCAGAGCTCTTAAAGCATCATTAATTGCAGACACTTTGTCAGAGCCAGGCCCTGGGGGGCCTTCAAGAACCCCCAATCCCTCAACAGGTTGGAGAGCTCCAATTGATCACCTGCTCTCTTAATTGTAGAATAAAAACATAAAGTCATGTCAGGAAGAGCTAGGCATTGTGTCCTGGAATAGAGGAATAGGGGGAAAAGAGCCAGAGTCAGAGTTGGCTAGGATGGCCCGGCCTGGTTCCTCCCCTGACTGGCTGTAGTTGGGGTCACCCAGCCCATTCACACACCTGCATATATGCCTCTTGGGGGGTTACTATTCTGAGAGTCACCTGTGGGTAAAAAGTGAGATATAGGAGGAGACTAAAAAGTTTCAGAGCCCACAGAAAGTAGTGATTGCTTCAAATCTTTGTAGATGGACCCCATTTCACTAGGGAGCACAGCTTAGGACTCACCTCACCTGGGCCTCCGGAGCCATCCTCTACAGCTGAAGCACTGCTGCCACCCTGTGGTCACAGCTCCACACTGTCATGTCCGGCCATTTCCTTTTTCTGGAATAGAACTCTGAAGGACCAGGTATGGATGGTGGTTCCTGAGGCCCTGACTCTTAAGAAAGAATTCCAGAAAGGCAGGGGCAGGTTACTGGGGTTGGACTATCATTTTGTCCATCTCCCTCTAGTCATCCCTGCCTTGCTCTAGCTCTGGGTGCAGGAGACTAGAATCTTGCTTTAGGAAATATCTTTCAGGAAAAGGTCCTTCAAAGTCATTTGGTACCCTTTCTCTTATGATTTTAGGATCTCTTACTCAACCTCCCCACTAGCCTATATTGTAGAGGTGCCATGATGTGAAAAGCCTGTAATCAGCTTTGGGCAAGCTACCTCTCAAACTGCAGCTACCTCTTCACCTAACACATGGCAACATTAAAAGAAACTACTTCCTAGGGTGGGCATTATTTGAGATACTTTTTGTAATCTGTTAAGTACAGGATCTGGCAGAGCAAGTGTCCTTATAATGTTGGCTGTGATAAGCCTTACATACTCAAGTCCTGGGCAAACTTACCATCTCCTGAGACAGTCTTTAGACAGATTGATCCTTGCACCAAGCTGGTTTCCATCTCCTTGTGGCCTCCACCAGGGGTCTGTTTGCCTCATTAAGTCTCAGAGAACATCTCATTTCATTCATGTGTGCCAGCCTTTTGCAGGTTTGAAGGTAGATTTCATTCTTCCACTCTATAGTACTTTTTTGTTCAAGGGGAAGCGTTTCTCCTCCTTAAGGCATCTACAAACCAATTTGTACTTTGGGTAGGTAGATTAGAGTAGGTTTTGACCTGGATGTTCTAGATACTACATTGCTATGAATGCAGCTGAACCTAGCGTGAAACTTTGTGTAAGTTTTGTCTCACAGATAGTCCCAATCACAGACCCTGACATTCATCATCATTACATCTTGTAGTTTCATCACTTTTTAAAAGGGAGCATCAAGACTGCAGGTAGATGGTCTTTTGTGGCAAGTGGATCCTCCTCACAGTGAGGTCCTTATCTGTTTTAATCTGACGGAAGTCCGGAGGAGCAAAGGGGTGGTGGAACACTGCAAAGAATGGCTAGGATCAGACAGACTCAGTTTTAATCCTAGCTCTTGCACTTCACTGTGTGCCTTGGGCAAGTGTCTGAACCCAAAACTCAGTTCATCTTCAATAAAATGAGGCAACTACTCCTGTTATCAAGAGGTTATTGTGAACAGTAAGTGACCCCATCTAGCATTCCATCTAGCACAGAGAAGGCACTCAATAAATGTTTACCATCCTGCTGCTTCCCCCTCTGCTATTTCTCTAATCACCAATTACAACTGTATCTGAGCTGAGGCTGCATCAAGGGGCTGATTTGGATGGCTTCCTATGTCCAGGATGGAAGTGATTGGTCTCTCCTTCAGTTAGTTGGAATGGGTTAATTCTGCTAACATGTGAAACTTCCCTGCCTTCAGTCTCAAACGACTTAATCTTGGCTTTGGTATTTGGCTTAGTAACCTCCTTTCTTACCTTTCTCTGGACCCCCATGTGCTCCTGACCATAACACAATGAAGGCCACCGCTTCCCTTCCCACTCTCTTAAGGAGACTCAGTCTCCCTATTTGTGTCAATTATACCTAACATTGGCCACAAACGGTTTCTTAGATCATTTCTCTCCTACTGGGAAACCCTCAGAGGCACCTGCTATCTCCTGGTCAAGTCCTTCGGCCTGGCTCACTCTCCTCACTTGTGAAAATTATCAAGACATATGCAGATACAAGGAGCAGGTAGTGACTGCCCTACACTCCATATGGTTCCTAAGCATTACCTGTTTTTCTTGAGAAATCTTACCTGCTTCTAAACGACCTTCCCCTATTTCCCGATAGAACTCACAGAATCATGGAAAGCTCCTCTTTCGGTCTGTGTGCATCCCCCAGTCACGCTGGAAACTTCTTGGGCGTAGGGATTATTTTTATTGTTTTGTTTTTTTAATTGTTAGGAGGGGTTGGGGATAAAACACTGAAAGGTTCAGAGGCCACTTGCCTTCAAACACTGTCTTATCCCCCATTTCCATCCCCATAAAGCACATAGGTCCTTCAGTGAGCCCTCCCATGATGCTGAGGGCCCTTGTCCCCAGGACAGTACACAAGTATGAGCCCTGGTTCCTGTGCCTTCTATTGTCTTATGTAATTTATATAAGCCACCCACCTTCTCTGTGTCTTCACTGTATAAAAAGAAGTGATAAGAATCCTGGCTCCTGTCCTAAGAAACCTAGGAGCGTGAGGAAGATCACAGATGTGAAAACCCAGTGAGTTCCCAGAAAGAGTGGACAATGGGACTTGTAAATCAGAGTATTGAAGCATCAGACATAACTTGGTTCTCTTGATAGTTTAATGTTATATTTGCAGCATAAATAAGGCACAATATATGTCAGGGCAGGGAGAAAGGGAGAAGGCATGGCTGGGGGATTAACTGCTAAGTGGCAAGGAGGAAGGAAGAAGGGATGATTAGGGAGAATAGAGCGAAGCCTCTGCCTCAGCCCTGTCCCGGGAGATTGTGAGAGCCTGCTCACAGGGATCATGCTGAACTGGATGGAGGGGAAAGGGAGAAGATGATTTTGTAACAAAAAAGCCTGTAGCACTGTACTCTCCCACCTGTCAAAGTCTACCACTGGGGACTGGGAAGACCCACATCAGAGTTCCTTGATGAGATGGAGAGGTTTTGCTACATGTCAAAGATATACAAATGAGCAGAGATAAAACCATAGATACACACTGTTTTCTTTTCAACAGATACTGTCAGGAGGCTGCAGCCTCCACTGTTGGGGCTGGAGGCTCATCTCCCTGCCTGAAATGTACGTGTGTGTGTGTGTGTGTGTGTGTGTAAGAGAGAGAGAAAGAGAGAGAGAGAGAGAGAGAACGAACACGAACACGACAGCTAGAACTCCAGCTGCTCTTTCCTGTAACAAAGAACATGGAGTGACCAGTCTGCTCAGGTCAATGCAGGACAGGTTTTAGGGATAAATAGGACAAAGACAAACCTAGATTTTGAGATGAGTGATATGGTGGTTGTTTTTATGGGAGTGGAAGAAGGGACTGGAGGATATGGAAAAATGTTAGTGCTAAGGCAAAAGATGATCCTTAAAATATTCTTGACACCCTACAAGAATTTCCCTTCTGCCCCTAAGGTGATGGTTCTCAAACTTTTGTGTGCATTAGAATCATTTGGAGTGCTTGTTAGAGCCCATCCCCACAGTTTCTAATTCAGTAAGTCAGAGGGGCCCAAATGTGCATTTCTAACAAGGTCCCAGATGCTGGTGGCTGCTGGTCTTGGACCATGTTCTGAGAACCACTGCCCTAAGAGAAAGTCAATGAAACTAGTACTCATAGCCATTTTTTTACAGCTAAAAACATCACTCACCAGCAACTAATGCTGGTGAGAAATCTCTGTGCTATCAGCCCCCATTAAAAAACCAAAAAACCAAAAACTCTAGCAGCTACAATACAAACCTGCATTTACAAAGGACATAAGCTGCCTTAACCTTCCCTACTTTCCCCAGCCTTTTCTCATTCTGGGGCAAGACTTTACCCCAAAGAGACAAACGACTGGTACAGCCACCTATACTCATTCAGTCTAGGTTAGCACCCTGGGGGGTGGGGGAGGTGGGGATTTGTGTCTGTGCACATCTGTGTGTTGTAAACAGAAACAAAGATACTCTGAGGGGATGATTAGGGTTGTGGGGGGTTGAAGATCCTCACCTGTCTTGTTCCTCCCTCTGCCCGTCAAACAAAAGTCTAAAGAAAGCAGAAAGCATATCAACAAAGGCATACATGATGTAGCTAGGACGACTGGATTCTAAACCGATGGGTTATGAAATTAAAAAAAAAATACATTTCCTTCCTGTGTATACAAGGTACAATATTAATGAAAAATAATGATTTGGGGATGGGAAGGAAGTTATGAAAGAAAGGGAGAACTTTTTCTGAGGGAGAGCTGTCTCAGGGCTAGCACCTTTAAAGGAGCCTCTCAGTGTGCAGCAAGGAAGCCTCAGAAACCAGAGGAGGAATATCTTGATGTCTGCTTGGTGGTTCAGGCTGTAGACAGGGCATGGTTCTGATTAAGCACCCCATCTACCAGGACATGTGATGCTAGAGGGCAATGAGTCAGGAAAGGAGCCAAGAACACAATAAGCATAGGGAAGGCAACGAGGTGAGGTTCAGTTAGGTCATCTCTTTTACTACCACCAAGAGTATATGGTCTAGTGCTTAGGGAGAAGAGGGGTGGAGGCTGAAGGAAGCTAGATTTGGGGTATGCGACCAACAAGGAAAGAGTAGTAAAGGAGGTCCTACACTTTTTAGTGGCCCCTCATAATGGGGGAGGCTTTCTCAGACTTTTCAATTCTAAGCAAGCTTTCTTTTTAGAGAATGAGGCAGAAAGTCTGAAGACTAGAAAGCCTGGTTCTGGCTCCTTTCTCAATGGCTTTGGGTATCTAGCAGCTGCGTCTCTGGAGTGAGGTGAGAGACTTCAGTCCTGTGTTCACTTGGAAGAGCCCCAACGGTCCACACTCCCAGTTCCTTTCAGAAAGTGTCTTCCATTAGGTCCCTAGAAAGGCCATGACCTTTAAAAAGGGCTAAGTGACATCCTCCATGATATCTAGTTTTGGTCCAGATAAGTCTGGAAGGCAAAAAAGCAAGGGAGAGCAACCACATGGCTGGCAGCAATAACAAGGTCAGTGATGTTCCCCTTGACTACAAGAGAGCATTCAGGGTAAGCAATTGCTCTGCCTTCTTAGTGAGACTGAGGACCAACTAAAGAGTTACCTGGCAGGGTTCTGCCCTGACCCTTCCTCATGTCACTGCTGCTTTACTAAGGTTCTGCCAATGCCTCTCATTTAGGTCCCCAATACTAACTTCCCACTGATGAAAACAAAACAAGGACTCAAGAGAATTAGACAGGGGGAGGCGCTAAGAAACTAAAGAGGACCCTCTATATAAATTAGCTATCCTATGCAGGGACAGACTGGCAGGGCTCAAACCTCCTCCAAGGCAAAGCAGTGAGGCAGGGCATGTGTGTAGTGACAAACTGATTCTTAACTTGAAAAACACTTGACTGAAGGAAGAAGAAAAAGAGTGAAGGGTCTATGAAAGCTCCTTGGGAGCCATAAACTCAGTCAAGCTCAAGGGCAAAGCTGCTAGTGGGAATCAAGATAATAAAAAAACGAAACAAAACTAAAGCAGGAGAAAAGCCCAGGGAGCAGCCATCTAAAGGAAAAGTCCTGAGCACAAGTTATGGCTGTGAATTTTTAAAGGCAAGTGGAGTCCCTGAAGGTGGTAACCTGCATCCTGACCATCTGCCATGCCATTTGCTAGTCTGAGTCATCTGAGGGGCTGTTCCTGTTGAGTCCCGGGTGGCAGAGGATGAGAAAACCATGTTTTCTCTCCTTTCTCTTTACCAGGCTCTGAAAAGCAGGAGGGGAAATTAAAAACAAATGCAGAAGAACATGTCATCTAATGGGCTCACCGGTTTATCACTCTGAGGAGATGGGAATCTTGTAGCTTAAAACATTTCCTCATTTCCATATGACAGCCAATTTTGGAAGACAAAATAAGAAAGGAAGCTGGGAGTTATTCTGTGCGTATGTTTAAGATGGAGGTAGGAGAGATGGAGAAAAGGACATTCTTGGCTTCGGCAGATGGCAGAAGGTGGCTCTGGGACAACTGGAAGAGTTTCATACTGAAGGGCTATTAAAGCTAACATATCTATCCACAGGACCCTGGCTTTGGATTGCTTCCTATGGCCCTGGTAGAAATTGCATAAATCAGAGCCAAAAGGAAAATGAGAAGTCTTCATGGGAAAGAAAGAGAGACAAGAGGGATGAATTTCTCCCACTGTAGCCCAACTCTTCAAAGTAAGAATGGTTGAGAACAATAGGCACCAATATCGCAAGCAGGCCAGACCCTTCAACAAGCAGGGCTCTTCTGCTGAGATTAGTACTAACCTCCCTCTTCCCAGCCTGCCCCTATCCAACCTTATACTCAAGAAAACCCACTCAGGACCTTGGCTATGATGCCTCAGAGTCCTGCGGTTTAGACTATGGAGAAGCACTGCATCTAGGGGGCAGAGGGCAGAAAAGAGATGAAGAAATGCTGCAGAACCAGAAAGACCTAGTGGTTAGGCTAGGAACCTGGTGAAAGACAGAAGGTAGATCCAGAGGGTGTGGGACATTTGTGAATATAAGACCCTAGCTCAGAAAAGAAAGATGTGTGAGGCTGACAGATGGGGGAAGAGTGAGAGACCATAAGAGTCCCCTACATGACAGCCTCCAGAGGGCTGCATCTGAATTAATTATGGAAGAGGAGAGACAGTATTGTGGGCAGGGGAATGAAGAGGGAGAGGCAGGAGCGGAAAGGTGACCAAAAGGAATATGTATGCTTTGGTCAGTAAACTCTTATAAAAAACATTAAAGAATCAATCCAGTAATCTGATGGAACAAGCTTTAAACTACATTGTTCCTACTTGCCCAATGATTAGTCTGAAGGATGGAGTGGGGAGGGGAGGAGTCAGCCAGTCAGATCACAGGCTCTTCCCCTTTTCACTACCAAGCAATATCTAATAAGGCCACAAGATGAGGTTGCCAAGGCTTAGTGGGAGGTGGAAAAGACCTCACCACTAGACTGGGAAAACTCAAGAGACAAAATGAGGTACCTAAATAGCTCTGGACGTAGATGAGAAAGGACTAGAATTCTTGAGGTTTTCTTTCTTTCTACTCTTTTTTTTTTTTTGGTTTTTCTGTTGGAAAGTAGGGAAAAGGACTAAAGTTAATGGAAGGACTGGAAAATATTGCTATTTCATATATCAAAGGTAACCTTACATTCACCCTAAATGAATTTTTGACTAGAATTTTGGAAGGAGGAAAAGGGATAAATAAGCAGCTACTGGGAGACAAGGTCCTGAATCCATAGGGTGAAAGCTGAGGATGGGTCAGCAGGTGATATGCCAATAATTCTAAATCCCTCTACCAAGCAGGAAGTGGCATGCTGTTAAGGAACAAGAAGGTAACATTCATGGTTTAGTGGGAAGAGAAGGAACTGAGAAACCTGAAACCTAGAAGTGCAAGGGTTAGTGTTAAAAGAGACAGGTATATATGCATGGGCAGGGGTGATTGTTCGAACCATCTGGAAAGGCCTTTGGCTGTGGGGATATCAGAAACCCCCACTTTGGGGGATGATATATGTGGCTCTGGGGCTGGGAGGCTCCTAGTACAGGTGTCAACGTACATGACCATGTGGCTGAAGAGAAAAGCCCCACATTTGTCCATTACTCACAACACACAAATTTTCCCCCGTACTGCCATGTCCAAGGCAGATGGGAGGGAATAAGATGACATTGCTCTTGGCTCTTGGACGGGCGAGCTCTGGCAGGGGACCTCTCCACCAGGGGAGGCATCATCTGCCCGCAGACTGGGACTGTGGGGTCATAATCACATGCGACTGTATTGGCATGCTCAGTTCTGTCCTTTGGCTGGCCATCTGAGTGAGGACTGAGGTGGCCACAGCTTCAGCTGCAGAGCGAACGCTGAGGCCATTGCTAGATGCTGTTGCTGAGCTGTGCTGAATCACAGGGGCTGGAGAACCCGTTGGCTCTGAGCTTTCCTTGGGGCTTTCTGTCAAGGAAGGAGGGCAAAGAGCAGAGAGCAAGTGGTTAGAAAACAGAATGGGGAAACAGGCAGGATGACTTTTTGCCATAATTCTAAAACAGACCACCAAAGGAAAAGGAAGCCCATCTTTTTTGGGGGGAGAAACTTCTCAGAATCTTGGCTTCTAAGCCATGAATGAGCTAGGAAACAGTGAGCAATCAGAAGGAAAGCAAAAACTAGGCCCAAATTAACCTATCTATCCCAATAAAGTGAATCCCCAACATGTTAATTATACTGTCTGGCTTCTAGGACTCTGTATGTAGTTCATTACCCGTATTGGAACACTCTTCTTCTTCTTCATGTTTTTAAAGGTAATTTAAAATAGGTTTCTTTTTAGCTATCCTCTCTGATTAATTCCCACAGGAACTGAATCATTAGATTCTTTTTAATTCTTTCAGCATGAAGCTGAAAGAATTAAAAAGAATCTAATGATTCAGCCTGATAAATATAAAGGTACAATCAAATGATGTCATGAATGATCAGTCCTTGGCCAGGGTTCAGTTAACACAACAACCCCCAAAGAGGTCTGTTAGACCCTCCTGACCATTGTTTAGCTAGGCATTATGATTTAAAATATTTATTTTGAGTTATGCCACTCTACCTGAAACAATAACATTTTACTAAACACAAGTATCTGAGCTGCATACAAAGATAACTAAATCATAGAGTTTTATTAAACAGAAGATAGCCTCTATGGCTGCTTAAACAGAGATGTGTGAAATAAGGGCAAACTTCCAGTAGTTGGTTGTATTTATGACCTAACAAATGCCTGAGTCGTCTTTCAGGATTCAAATATTACCTCCTGCGAAGCTTTCTTAATTGGCTCAGGAAATTAACTATTTCATCACTTGTGCTTTCACAGCACACATACATTTATTCATCAAACATTTATACTGAGCATCATCTGTATGCCAAGCACTGGGGTATGTATATAAAGAATAAAACAGCCCTGTCTTCAGGAAGCTCCTAGTCCAGGGGCTCTTTGACTGAGATACCTGTGCTTACCCTCTTCGCAGGTTGACATGTTTATCTCCTCATAACCCTATGAGTCTCCCAGAGGCAGGGACAGTATCTCATTTGTCTTGTGTTAAGTACCTACCATAATGTAGGTACTACATACACTACAAAGTAAGAACTAAATACATTTTTGCTGTAACAAATAAGCAGTTTAATGGATTGACTACCTGTCAGAGTTCTTGTAGGGACTGAATAGAAAACTTACTGTATACGGACTTCATTGTTAGCCCCTGAAAAGTACTTCGAATGGTTGATCACTAAACATCTTGAAATATTTTATCTTGGTTTGCAGAACACCACACTCAGCTTACTCAGTTGGTTCCTACCTTCTTGGCTGCTCATTCTCAGTCTATTTTATGGGTTCCTTCTCATCTCTCTGACCTCTAAATGCTGCAGTACCCCAGGTCTCGGTCCTGGGACATCTTCTCTTTTTCTATCTATGCCTCTTCCTTGACAATAACATTTCATCCAGTTTCATGGCTTTAAAAACTAACTATATGCTGCTGGCTCCCATAGTTTTATCTTCCAGCCTTTCCTCTGCACTGTAGACCCATATAACCGGCTGTCTGCTTGACTCTACCTGCAAGCCTAACAGGGTTCTTAACTCAGCTTGTTCAAAACTGTGTTCAAAATATACCTCTCAATCCATTTCTTCCTACATCTTCTTCTATCTCAATTAATGGCAAATCCATTCTTGCAGTTGCTCAGACCAAATACTTTGGTGTAATTTTTGACTCTTCTTTATCTCATACATTACTGCCCCATATGGCCCATCATCAAACCCAGTCATTCTACAAACTATCCTGAATTCAATCTCTTCTCACCACCTTCACTTACCACTGTTCTGGTCCAAGGCTCCATCATCTCTTGCCCACATGATTACAATAGCCTCCTAAGTGACTGCCTGCTTCTGCCCATGCACTCCTGTACTTTCTAATAGAGTTGATCCTATTCAAACGTAAGTCAGATCAGTCATGTCACAGCTCTGCTGAAAACTCTCTAATGGTCCCCAATGTAGAGTAAAAGCTGAGATCCTCACTATGACTGATGAGGCCCTACACAAGGATGCTCCCTTTACCTTCCTTACCTCATCTCCAACTACTCTCCAGCCCCCATTCTCTTCAATCCAGCCATGCCAGCCTCCTTGATGTTCCTAGAATGTCTAGGCATGCTCTCGCTTTGGGTTTTTGCATTTGCTCTTCCTCTTGCCTGCAGTATTTTTCTCCCATATAAGTGCATGGCTAGCTCCTTCACTCCTTTAAGATCTTTATTCAAAAGACACCACATCTGAAATTTCAACCCTGCTGCCAACATTTCATAGTTTTCTTCCCTGTTTTATTTTTTCCTCCAAGTATTTACTCTTATCTAACATACCATATATTTGTACCTATTTATCTCATTTACCATGTCTCACTTACTAAAATATAAGCTCCTCAAGGGCAGGGAGTTTAATCTACTTGATTCTCTATTATATCCTCAGCATGTAAAACAGTGCCTGGGACAGAATAGGCTCAATCAATACCTGCTTAATAAATGAATGTTCATATTAAAATTAAAATTTAAATAGATATGTTTAAAATTGATGATGAGGTTACTTTTTCTATGAGAACACATCTGTGAAATGATAAGACAGTGAAAAATTAATTCAATCCATCAAAATTTGATTGCTAACATTTCTATGAATTTGTTTAATTTGTAAAGGAAAATGATTTATTAGCTTTTACCAGCCATAAGCAAATTATTCACAATAGTTTTAATTTCAGAATTGTGCCTGTCCTGAGCACAACTGTGACCATCTTTTTCTAGCACTAATTTTTGTGTGCTCATAGATTATGAACTGAAACCAACGTCAGCCCATCATTAGAAAGATAAAATATACCCTGAAATCCCAATGTATTTTCTGCTGTTTACATCCTCTTAAGGCCAAGGCAGTATCTTTGGAATAAGAAAGACCTGAATGTGAATTTTGGCTTTGTTACTGTATTAGCTGTGTAACTTCAGGTAAGTGACTAATCTGAGTGCAGTTTTCTCATGTATAAATGGAGATAAGGCATATATTTCCTAAGAACATATACTTCATAAGAGAACTGGGAAGATGGTAGAGTACTTAACACAAAGTAGGTACCCAATAAATACTGCCACCCTTTATCTCACTTAGGATAACTCTATATTCTCAAAAAAAATTTTTTTGTAGGACTAGTTGTTCTACAAAGGTCTGTAGCCCTCCAGAACATTCTGAATGGAGTTATAAAATTATAAACAGTTGAGATACTCCACATATGCAGTTTACTGACCGACTGACTTTGCTTAGATTGCAAGCCACTCACCTAAGTAGCCTTGGGTCTTCTTCTGTAGCGCAGTGACCGGGCAGTCTTTATGAGCTAACAGTAGCTGTTTCAACTGAGCCACCTCATTACGTAGTAATGTGACTTCATTCTGAGAGAGAGAAGAAAAGAAAATCAGGAAAATCCATCCTCCACTCTTGTACCCCGGTGACTATCCCTCAAAGTGAGGACTGAATGCTGCCTAGATTTCTTCCTCCGAATCTGGAAAAGACGTCTGACCCAGCAAGGCTTCAGACAGCCCCGGGCCAGTATAGCCATGAATTCAATGACAGGAGCTGCTTACAGTGTACAGTACGAAATCACAATAGAAAAATCACTCCTATTTAGGATAAATATGATTATATCAAAATTAATAATATATATGTCCTTTGATTAAGAAAGCATACTTCCAGGAATCTATTTGACAGATCTACTCAAGTGCATACAATGTTGACTGCAGCATTGTTGTTCTGGAAAAAATAAGAAACATTATAAATATCCATATCTTATACTATAACTACACTGTAGAATGTACTACTATATAGCTATTTAAAAAAAATGAGGTAGATCTTCTATATACATGGCTAGCTCTCTAGGAGATACTGTTAACCTATTTCTGTTAAAACAAACACCAATCCCTCTCCGACTCCCCTACAAAAAGGGAGTAAATGAAAATATTTAGAAATACATATTTGTCAGGTAGGTACACACTAAACTTACCTACAGGGAAAAGAATGAGTCTGTGAAAGTCATATTCAAGAGAGAATTTGTTTTTTATTCTATACCTCTGTGTATGCATATGTATATTACATATATGTTATATATAAAAAAATATATTACCTATGTAATGAAGTATTTTAATAAATAATTAGAAGAGAAAATAAAATTCAAGGAAATATATGGATTATAATTGTTCTATTTGTGCTTGTGTGGCTTTTTTCTTTCATTAAGCTGCATTATCTGGGGCAAAGACATTTCCCTTTGGGTATCCTAACACCCAAGTCAGAGTCTACTGATGACTTAAAAGAGCACCCTGGGGTGTTTAATCTAATTCTCTTCATCCAAATGGGTTTATGGATGACTCATTCTAGTAGCAGATTTGGGAGTAGATGGTGTTCTTTCCAATCCTGGAGGAAGAGATTTCAATTCTGACTGTTAAGAGATTCTTTCTGCATTCTTCCTGGATTATCTTCTGGATCTGTCCTAATTTCAAGAATTACCATCTCCTATTACATCGTTTCACTTTTTTCTGATTCAATCCCACTTTCTAGATTCAACAATCCCAACAATCATTCAAGACCCACTCACACTCAGCTGAATGTTCTGAGAAGTGAGTTCCTCTGCCTTCTTCTCTAGGGAGGACACCCATAACTTCCGCTTTTGACGGCAGCGAGAGGCTGCAGCCCGGTTGCGCTCCAGAAAACGCTGCCGCCGCTCATCTGGATCTTCATCCACTGTGCGCCGCCGGCGCCCTCCTGTACTAGGAGTGGGCTGGGCTGGTGAAACCTGTTGCCCAGGAAGGAAGAGGAGTTACTTGAAAGCAATGGCAATCCTTTCCAAATTAAACCTGATATTAGGTATATTAGTAAGATCTGGTAAAGGGATATAAAAGTCCCTGTAACCACAGCAAGTCTCATCACTATGTCCCTTAACTTCTCTTTGAGGTAACTCCTCTTTCTGCCTTCCATTTCCTTCCAGTCTTTTCAGTCCCATACTTAGACAAACCACAGTTCAACTGGAAATTGATTCTTTCTAAGATAGATAGACAAAATGAAACTAGGATCATTTTCTATTTCTTAACAATGGGGAATCTTACAGGCAGGGAAATCGTAATGGAGGATGTCAGGGGAACTTTTAGCAAGACCAAGGAATAAAAAAGTTTAATAATCAAGCAATATATACAAACAACTGGACGCCTCAACAAGTTTCAGAAAAGATTTCACTACCAGTGAGAATTAGGCTATTATGGAGAGAGATGGATTAGCATATTCTTTTCATTTATAATCAGTTGTTAATCATCCTCAGCAACCTCTCCATCATGTTGTTTGTTCTGTTTGTTCTATTTTAAAAAGAAAAGCATTTTTTAATCCCTTTACAAACTGGTGTTATAAAACTGCCTTTTGTCTTTAAACTTCAGGTTGATGTGCCTTGTCACTAAAGCACTTTTGGATCATCGTCCCTTTATGTTAGATGGTATGTGTTCAGAGAAGATAGATCAATTTTATAATAGTGGCAAAAATTAAAATGTAGAAAGGTAAACAAGCTGTATAAAAGAAACTACATAATGTAAAACCAATGCCAAAAATAAATTTGTCCTGGATCTGTTGCTATTAGGGAATATCTATATTAGTTCTTCCCAAATGCCAGAGCTCACACCAGTTGCATGAGAATAAGCATGCGTTATAAAAAACAGAATCTTATATTCCACTTCAAGCCCTACTGAATCATGTTCTCCATTAAATATAATCAAGAGATAATGTTATTTATCTAATATTATCTCAAAAGAAAAAAAAAATAGGGAGGAAATTTTAAACTCAATTTAATGAGTTAGAGGCCTTGGGTCATTGCTTCTCACTCTACTAAGGAAAGTTTACACAAATTTTCCTGAGATTTAAAATTTCCTCTTTGTCCTGAGCTCACTGGAGCACATGTAAAGATTGGTGCTTTAGGAGGATGGGGAAAAGAAAATGATCGGTTCCTATTCTCTCATAGGCAATTCGGAATTCATGCAGGAAATGGAGGTGAAAGAACAGGCTGAGAGAAAGAAGGGAAGAATGAGAAGGAAAGGCATCAGTGGGGACTAAAAATGAAGTCATGTCATTTTCTCGAGGCAAAGCAGCACAACATGGGCAAGGGGCTACTGCTTTACCATCTCCAAGGACTGGCAATGGAAGGGGTTACACAAGGGTGGGAAAGCTTAGCTTCAAACAAGAAAATTCAAATGAAGGCTTTAGTTGTTGGCCAAGTTTTAAGGCAGCATATGGCATATTAGGACATGTGGTGGTAACTGATGAAGCAGGTGGTGACATCAGGAAAAGGGGCTGGGCAAAGAATGCGACTCTAGAAACCGACCTCAGGTTGTTGTCATCTGTTCAGTACAGACAATACAAAGACAGAGGCCTATTCAGTTTTCAAAGAAATTTACTACAACTGAGGCCTCCTTGATAAAAGAATTGGGTATCTAAATAGGACTGCTCTGTCTTTTCTAAGGCTTTAATTCTTCTGTGATAAAAAGGGATTAAATTGATAAGGAAAAGGTATATTTTTGTGTTTGTTTACTGAGCAGTCTTAATACTGTAACATCACATATTATTAATATATTATCATCTCATTTTTGCTTTAAAATCTAATCAGGTTAAGGGTTTGTTTGTTTGTTTTGATAAGACTTAATAGATAAAAAAGAGACTAGGGGAGCCTCCTTTGGTGCGCAAAGTGGTTTGAAGTGAGGTTCTGTCACCTTTTAGAGAGTTCTGCAGATATATCATTCACTTATAGATAAAAACAAAAAGGAAAAATTAAGAACTCTGTGACGGTTCTGCATTATTCAGTCTGTTTGCATGTAAGTATAATACAAGGCTGGATAAAGAATGGTGCATTTTGCTACTGTCAAATTGTCAACAAGAACCAAAGCACAGGAAGATGCCAGAAAGCTGAAATCCATTCTTCTCTAATTTTTCTCTCCTTGAAAGACATAAGACATAAAGAGTAATGGTGACCCAGCTGGTTCCCTGATCCAAGGGCCCAACTGACCTGTGGCTGGGCTGGGGAAGGGGCATCAGGGTGCTGGATGAGGATCTGGCTCTGCTCAGGACGGGCCGTTACCATGGTGCTAGCAGTACCTACCGCCATTCCACAACCACCATTGATTGAGGAGACTTGGTGGGTTAGGGTGGCCTTTAGTCTCTGCAGGGAAAGATTAAAAAAAGCTTGTCAAGGGTAAAATCCTATCAAGGGTAGAAATAGTGGGCTTAGATTTTATTACTGACCTTACAGATAACTAAAATTTCCATATCAATTTTCCCTTTACAGAAAAATTAAAAAAAAAAAATGACGGAGAGAATGTGCACCTGGATCCTTAAAATGCCTACTCTGTTCCCTGGCTATCATCCTGGGCACAGTTGGAGGGTGGGAGTTGTTGAAGCAATAGTCCAGATGAAAGCTATCTCCTGGAACCTGGCCAGGTGCTGGTTATGCAGCTATTCACCTCTTGGCCAGCTCTCCTGCTCACTCATCCACCCTCCATCTGTCACTCTGGAACTGAAACAGCAACTGTTCCACTCCAAACAATCTGTGCTGCCTCTTCACTGCCATGGTCTATATACCAGGCTCTAAAGGTGGACGAGAGGAGATAAGAGTCCTAAGTCAGGGTCTTTTTTTCTATATACCTCACAACGGGGTGTCTTTAGCTTTGCTACTCTCAGAAGGTTCCTTTGCTTGGCTTGCTTGAAAAACCTAGGCTGATAAAACTATTTCTTTCAGAAGGGCCAACATTGCCTCGGGCTGGGATGTACTCACCATCTTGGCTTCTGATGGCATAGGGTGGCCAGAGGGAGAAATGGAACCACTGCTGTTAACTGGTGGGCCAGGAATACCAGGAATGTTGGGCACCATAGACACAGGCCTGGCCAGCTGGATCAAGAGAAGGAAGAAAAACCAGAAGGGAACATAATACGATCGGTGGGGCAAAAGCTCCCCAAAATGAAATGTTTTTGAGATTGGCACGTCAGGACTTACTCTGTGCAAGCTTCCCACAGGGCATGCAGGGACGGCCTGGGAAATACCTTCCCCTATGGAGCACCACAGTGCAGGGAATCTACTTTTCCAGTGCTATGACAATTTCTATGGAAAAGGCTACGGCTGTATATTGAGGAAAATGGTGGGTAATTTGGGAGATGCTAAGTGCCAAGTGAAATCAACCAATCAGCAGGCTGGGAGCCAATTCCTAGACCAGGAGCCAATTGTCCAGATGATTCTTTGTCTAGTATTCCATAGTGCTGGGTTGGCAGAGGTTAGTGAAGAGTTTGGGCAGGCTGCCATGCTCAACTAATACAGACCATAGCCCACGTTTCCCTGGGGCTCATGTGTGTTTATGAGCACTCAGGTGGAAGGGAGGGATTAGTGTGTTGGTAGGGCTGGCTGCCCCAACTACAGAGCTCACCGATATAACAGAAGGCATCTGTACTGGAGGCCCTGGCAGCACAGGCATGGTCTGTCCATTAGCAAGATGCATGACGAGAGGGAGGGAGCCTGTGGGAGACCTAGAGGAGACATGAAGTAAAATGCTCACGATACAGACCCTTTTGCCAATGGATCTTCCTCCTGTAATATAGCAGATTTTCTAGTCTTCCCTAGTTAAGGGTGCTAAAGGGCAGCATTGTGAAATCTTGACACCCTCATGAAGTTGGAAAAAGCAAGGAATGCTCCTTACCTTACAGATGGAGAGAAATGGCTAGATCTTTACACCTTGGAAATTAAACAAACACCACTGAACTCAAAGGGGTGAGAAGCTAATCCTATTAAGAGTTTTGAACAAATAAATAAACATCCCTATCACTGCCATGTATAAATTTTCTCTTGCCTTCGGCAAGGGAGACTTGGACCAAAGTTGTCATTTTGCAAAGCTGAATTATGTCATATGAAAGCCAAATTTGAAGGTTTCTCTTGCTTCTTTCCACATTTTGCTTTACCCTGTCTAAAAAAGATGTCCCTTTGTATTTTTCCTAGTGAGTCCAGAGAACAATAAGCTTTAAGAGGCTGAATCCTGATGATAATCTCTTAACTCATGGGTACCTGGGGACAGGATCTCAAGTCATCCCATTAGGAGATCTGTATGGGCCATGCCAGGAGCAAAGACAAAGAGAAAAACAAACTTTGAGGTAACAAAGACCGAGAATCCTAACTGGGACTGAGGGAAACACTCAAAAAAAGATAACATATGGGTTTCATCCCCTCATTCATTCAGTAAACTTCTACAGATTGAGGTCAAGAAATATAGTTTCCTGTGCACCCTCCACTATTATGATAAACTTCCTAAAGCTTTATGGATTCTATTTTAGATTGAAGAAGTATTAAACTTCCAAATTAACGAAGCATTACCCTCAAATAAATACTTGCTTGTCTACCCAAAAGGTAAAGGAGATTCTGTTTATGGGGGTGGAAATTTATTTTGAGAGACAATCTCAGTGACTCATTTTCCTTGAGTATTCAAAAACAGTCCCTGTTTTATCAAATAATTTCATAAAGTGGAAAAAGACTCAGGCTTCATTGTTTTTCTCAGCACTCTTTACTTACCCCAATTGCCTGTTAGATGGTGGAGCCTGTGTGATGACAGAGGTTGGGGAGGGAAGGGTTGGGTGAAGTGAATCATAGCCCACGTGGAGAGGCAGGGACCCAGGACGTACGATGGTAGGCGTTGGGGTAGAGATCACCATAGGCTTTGGGGCAACTTCCTGGGGAGAAGAGACCAATAAATCACAAAATGCTTTAAGGGACTGCTTATAGGGAAATATGTAGCTGGTAAAATCTAGTACAATTTGTTGGAAAGAGCACCAGAGTGACTCATGTCATTCCATGGCCACACACCATACCTCACTTACCCATTCAATAGGAACGCTGAGTTAAGACTTTTTGCTATATCCCTTTCAGGGATGATGGCTATATGAATGAGATGACAGTTGAAAAATCACTTGAAATCTTTGTAGAAGCACTGTAGTATCACATAAATTCTAAGGATTGTTATAATTTTTCACAATCTAGATAGTGTCATTCTAAACTTGATGCCTCAGTATCCTCAGATCTCTAATGGGAAAAGGTAGGTAGCCTCAGTATCCTCAGATCTCTAATGGGAAAAGGTAGGTATAAGACTAGTGATAAGGCAACCCAGTATCTCTTACAGACACCTTTAAAAAAGGGCTATGGAAGTTTAAATAAGGAACATATTGTAATAAAACAAACTGCTTTCCACTGTTAACTTGTTAGGATCTTAAGATTGCCACTGGCCCTGAAAACATCTCCAGACAGCCTCTAGGAACTGGTTGCTGATGAAAAGAAGAGAGGTCGGAGGAAGGTTGTATTGTTTATAAAGGGAATAATTTTGGGAAGTAAAATATGGAGGAAGGTAAAATGAGGTCTATTCTATCTAAAGTGGGCATTAAAATAACTACTGGTAGAGCAGTAGAGACTGAAAGGAAGCATAAGGGGACCTCTGAGGTTCCAATAAATCTGGAACCTAGTTGCAGAGGCTGTAAACGTCATGAAAATTCAGTGAGCTGTATTCTTACAATTTATGTGCTTTTCTGTATGTGTGTTATATTTTAATAAATTTGTAAAAAATACTGCTTTGTAAAAAATTTCCTTCAAAAAAATAATATTCAGAATCCTAGTAGATATTCCCTTTAAGTCACCAGAAGACTTCTCTCTGGCTAGACTTTTTCTTCTAAATTGTTTAATGTCCAGTTTATAACTTACGTGATTTTCTTTTTTCACTTATTGAAATACACAACATGAAGCACATTAACCTAAAGGATATAAATGACTTTTTATATATGTAAAATCATGACAGAGTGCTCATTTCTAGCACCCCAGAAGGTTCTCCTATATCCATTCCCAATCCATACCTTTCCTCACAAGAAGTAAACATTATTTAGAGTTCTATTGTCATTAAGTAATTTTGCCTCTTCTTGAACCTGATGTAAATGGAACCATCTAGTATGTACTTTTTTTCCTGAATTTTGTTGTTGTTGTATAATATAACATTAATGAGAATCATCCACTCTGCTATGTATATCATTAGTTAATTCTTTTTTAATGCCATGCAGTACTCCGTTTTAGAAATATACCACAGTTTATTTACTCATTCTTTTGTTGATGGCTTCCTTCCCGTTTTTTGACTATTACCAATACAACATATTCTCATCTACTTCTTTTGGTGGATATATGCACTAATTTCATTTTATACAGACTCAGAAGTAGAATTGCTGGGTCAGAGAACAGGTGTAATTTATATAAATCTTCTAAACAATTAACATTTATTTAAATATAAAAAATCCTCCTGTATCATACACTACTTATACAACTAATCATAATGTCATCTATTAATTAACAATTGGGATGTCTCTTGGTAGAGAATTTTACCTTGTCTTTGAGTGGCGGAGAGCAGGGGCTGGAGGCAGGGCTGTCAGGCGGGGATGAGTCTACCTCCACTGGCTCCTCTTCTTTGATTTTGATGTCTGGTGTGGAAGGCAGAGACATGTCAAGGGGCCCAGCAGCAGCCTGTTAAAATAGAGAAATGAGTATAGTTTATTTTAACCCCATGACCCCATGATTCCCTTCAGGTCGAATCTACATCTTTCCAGGTAAAAGATGAGGAAATACACTTCTAAGAAATTTAGCACTTGGTCAAAACACTGAACTGCAAGTCAAAGAAATGTGAAGCATAGGTTTTATATACAACTCTGGCCATTTTAACTTCTCATGGTTTCTGTTTCCCTAACTATAAAATGGAGATAACATCTGCTTCATCATGAATGAATATTTATAAAGATTCTCAAGGGAAAAAAATACTTATAATGCTTATAGAGACCCTGAAAGGAGGAAAAAAAGATATCACTTGAATCCATGTAAAACAGGAAAGTAAAATGATTCCTGAATTCAGTGCCTGCCTTTTCCCCACCAGCTCTGTTGGCCACTGGAGAACTGTGACAGTTTTTCTGCCAATCAGAATGATTACATTACCCAATTATCAATAGCAAATAAAGACAAATTGGCTATTAAAGTACTGCAAACAAGAAAGATCTTTTCCAGGGACCTCTCCATGCTTGACAGTGATCTCACCCCAAAATCTGGTGGTAGAGGTTAGAAGTTAGAAAGGTAGGGTTTTGGGGTAATAAAGAAAGGAAAGGCTGATCACTTGATCAGTGAAAGAAATTACAACTTGGTCCTAGGAGCAGGACTGGAGAAAACCAGAAAGAAAAGAGAGTACTTTTCTAGCAGTTGTGTGATCATCTCACAGAACTGTGGAACCAAAAATGGCTCTGCAAGGAAGAACAAACCATCTGAGATGAGGGTTCTGACACTGTATCTTGACAGGAGGGTTGGCATTGCAGTTCAGTTTCATGACAAAGTGGATTCTTTGTTCTATTCTTCCCATATCCTAGGCTTCTTGGTGAAAGAGGAACTTGTTCTAACTTTTCCCATTCTACCTTAATCCTTAAAAACCTTCTTGGTAGTTGAGCAAACTAAAGATAATCTGGTGTCTACCACATTAGAGAAAGTGGTAATGGTTCTTTTTCTCTAAGCTGATGGGTTGAGCAACAGCAAAGATGGTTTCGTTTCTGCTCTCGTTTTTCCTACATTGCTAAGATATCAGGCTTAATTGACATAATTCTGGGATCTCTGAAGTCAGAGAGTGGTGGGAAGGAGAGGCCTCTCAGTAAATACAACCACAAGTTTAAAATCACCAATCCCCTTGGGACATCCCCTTGAAAAGCTGTGGTTCAGGAAAGTTTGGGGCTCATAAAAGACTCCTAAAAACAATCTTCCACTGAGTCTGTGCTTCCCATCAAGGCGAGGTGAAGACCACCCCTGTTCAGACAGAAAGAAACACTAAGAGATACCCAATGAGTAAAGATCTAATCCAACTATGAATGGCCTTCTGGAAGTGTCAACTGAACTAAAATGGCAATGGAAAAGACCTGAAGCTTTTAAAGGGAGGCTAATTTTCTTAAATTTACTTATAATGAGTTTGGTTTAAAATCCCTTATATCCTGGTGGGAACAATTTGACTGATTTCTTTGTTTTGGGGGAGGGAAAAATGATAGTGGGGATGAGGTAGAGAAGCTATAAAATAAAATTATACCATATAGATTGAAGCAACTGAGAGATGAGAGACCTGGGTCTCCAAAGAATAATAATAATGGGAAGACTGTGGTTAGTTCTGCCTTTTCAAAGTAGACCTACAAATATATGACACTAAGTTACCCTACTTTCTTTTACTTTGACGGAGAGAGCATAAAAAGGTCATAGAAAGCTTTGGAATTTAGAAAGACCTCCAGTGATAAGGACACTTTATCTTGCATTCTTACCATTTAAGCTGAATGGAAAAATCATGCACAACTCTCTTGCTCTCTCTCTCTTAGAAGGAAAGAACTCCCATGGACATTTTTTCTTATATCCTGGCTTTTCTATATTCTGATGGAATTCTATGCCTCATTGCACCATGCAATTATGGGAGGTACATGTGTTAATTGCACACATTTTGAGATAGAAATATTGAGATTTTTCTGAAATATTATGGAACACAGACCTGATTTTAAATAGTGGCTAATAATCTAGAACTCCAATTCTAAAGTAAACTGAAATTTCCAGTTGCCTTTTCCCCAACCCAAGTCCCTCATTCCATGGAAACTACTTTGACTCTGCTTCTTGAACTATTTCCCCTGGTCTTCTAAACTAAAGGATTCTCTAGGGGTCTGGAATATAAAAGCTAAAATCAGAATTACAGCACCTCAGGATCTGAAGGGATTCCAGCATTTTAATGCCCTCTACAATATCTATACTAAGTGGCCTACATATAATTGAACATACTTTGTAATAACTTCCACCTGCTGGTCCTACTTCTACTTCTGGGCCTTATATATAGGATATAGATATTATCTTAACCTCTTTATATATAAAACCTCTTCAAATGTTTGAAGACTGAACTTTTATTCACATTAAATCTTCTCTCTTCCAAGCAAAACTTCTTCGATTTATTTAAATGTTTCCAATTCTTTCTAATTCTTTCACCGTCCTGGTTGATCTCCTTTGGAAGGCACTAAGAACATCCTTCTTTAGATTTAATGTCTTCAATATTACCAGAAAGCTACTTGAAGGTAAGAGCCACACATACTGAAATGAAGAGTAGAAATTCAATAAACGTTTGTTGATTGGCTGACTGAACAAAAAAAGTCCAGGTGAGAAGTCTGATTAGCTCAGAAAAGAGTGAGATTTGCTCCCCCCCCCAATCTAACAAAATATGAGTAATTTATAATCTTTCAACATCTTTAAATATTCAAAGTAAATAATTTAAATGAATAAATTACTGAACTAAAGCTCTACTGGAAGTAGATTTTTGATGAAGATAGACTGATTTTTGATGAAGATAGACTTGGGCTGATCTATTACCTAGACCCCCTAAAGACCTAGATGGCTGACTAGGATTAGTGGGTACTACGTGGTTCTATAGAACCAAGCCTGTAATTTTGTACATTAATCAATTAAGCAAGTTATCCCAGGGCATAATGAGAATAGCCTAGATCTGAACACCACCAGTTTTTCAGCAAAATACCAGCCTCTTACCTTTTTTTCATCTTCATCTGCAGCTTTCTTGAATTCATGTTCAAAGGAGTTAGCTAGTTCATTGAAGAGCCCCACCTCCTCACAGTTCTTTAGGAATCTAGTTGGAGTAGGAGTCTGATCTGTAGACATGAAAAGAAAAGGAAATTCTATTTTAGTCTGACCTGAAACTAAAACTTGAATGTATATAGAGAACACATTTTATTCTATTTGGAGAGAGTCTCTGTTGGGGCAAATTTGCTTTATGAAGTTCTAGCAGGTAAAGGCTGGTGCTAAACCACCAGAGGGTGTCTGTGCTGTGTTGCCTCAAGGCCAGCAGAGGGAAGACAGAACAATGCTTTGTTGTGTGACTATCCATGTAACCAATCTTTCTTCCAGAGGCGGTTTCACCTCCCTCACCCCCAAATAAAACAAAACCAACCACCCACCCACGTGGAGTTTGTGAAACTTCCAGATTTGAAAATCAAGTATAGTTAAGCAACATTCTCTCTTTAAACTTATTCCCTGTCTAAGTCTGAAGTGAGCAGGTATAAGCAGATAGACCTTAAAATCTGATGAGAAGAAACTGAGGATCAGATGGTTGAATTTGCTTGCTAAAGCTATCAAATTAGAAATGGTGCCTTATCTTTCAGTGGTCACTGACGTAAGGGTCTGTTACCTTCTGAAGACATTCCAGGCAAATCTAGGGGCTGGGGAACAAGACAGCAAGATCGTGAGCTAGAAAAGGAAACTGCAAACAATAGAGCTCATTTCACAGAGACCTAGGCCCAGAGCAAATTCCGGAAACCAGGATATTTGGATTTAGATTTGCCAGCCAAAATATCCTCTCGGGGGCTGCACAAATCTTTCCTCAACACAGTGCCTCTGTCCTTGGGAAGAGGTAGGGTCTCAGTAACCCAAGGGAAATTCTCAAGCAACTTGAATTTTAGATTTGAACTTCTCTCTCCCCATCTTGCTTTTCCAGTTTTTCTCTTAGGTCGGTTGAATCTTGTTCCTTGATCCTAACTCTATTATGGTGGTTTTCCTTGGAATTCACCTCACAGATTCATCTCATATCCCAAACCACTAGAATGAATGACAGAAACAGAACAATGTTTAAATAATATTTTAAGGAGTGAGACCTGGGGTTAAAATCACTCCTTCTAGTATGATCGATTGGGAATAGTTCAGTGGGATTTTCCATGGAAACAACATAATTAAAAAAAAATTTTAAACAAAACCTCTTCTGAATCAGAGTGTTTAGAAAAGTTACCACTACCTCCCAAAATAGTTTTAAAAGCTTCTCTGGCAGCTTTGGTTGGCCAACAATAAAGCCACTCTCTCTCCATCCCCGGGTGAGTGGAGGTAATGTCCTTTATGCTTAGACAGAACTTCAGTAAGGGCACACAAAAATTCACAACTCAAGTGAAACAGGATGGGGCAGCCAAGGGTATAGCTATGGCAGAAGAGGCTTTGGATCTCTGATCTAAGGCTCATACAAACTTCTCCCATTTCTGAACAAACAGCGAAACAGCCTAAAAATGTATAAGAAAATCTTTAGCCTGCTCTGATGATTCTGAAACAATCAACAAGTGTTTATACTTTCTATGTGTTTTGGTGCTACATACATTCACTTATGTGTAAATGTGGGGAGAAGAGAAATAGGAGTATAGAAATTTTGCCCAAATACAAGACGGGGCTCTTGCCCTAGAGAATGAGAGAGTGTTTTCTAGTTGAAGAAATAAAACTAATATATACAGATAACATCATAGTATACAAAAAATAGGTGCCAGGATAGTATACAAAAAATAGGTGTCATGTACAGTAGAAAATAAAATTGTTGTAGAAATTAAATAGACAAATTAATGATAGAGTAATTAGGAGGTTTCAAGAAGTGGGACTTTAGCTGGACCTTAAAGAATAGCTTTAGATGTCAGAGAGAAGAGAAGATTGGGACGATAAGAGGAGTAAGAGAGATGAAGTCATAGAGAGAGGCAAGGTATGGGCACCATGTATAGATTAGGAGAAAAAGGTATGTCTAGGTCAAGAGATAATCATGTTAGATATATAAGTTGTACATAAAGTTGGGAAGTATCATGAGGCTAGGTTATGAAAAGCCTAAATATCCAAGTATAAATAATCTTAAAGCAAAAGAAAATGGGAAGATAATGGTAGATTTTTGAGCAGAGGAGAATTTAAGGAAGACTGGCTTTTCAATAAAATACAAGATGGATTATAATGACAGAATAGTCAAGAAGTCCAGCTAGGAGACTATGGAAGAATCCAAGTATAACGAAGATGGCTGCAGAGAGCAGTATGGAACAGAACAGAAAGAATTTGAAGAAAGAATAAAACTCAAGATTTTGAGAATATTGATATCACTGAATAAGGGGATAAGGAGTTGCTTTAGGGGACTAAGATAAATTCAGTCAAAGACATGAATATTTGAATGATAGAAAGATGGCCAAGTTAGCTGTTCAATTAAGGGTTGGAATACATGTGAGACCTCATATCTTACTTTACATATATGAGAATTACCAGCCTAGATAGCATAGCTGAAGTCACGTGCAATGGGATGAGTACTCCAGAACAGCACGCAAAGAATAACAGGAAAACACTTTCTCTTCCTGGGGCTGTCCTATATCAAATTTTTCTCATATTCCTGGAGACTCTGCAAAAGCCTTTCTACCCATTTGTAATAACCTCTCCAACTTGATAACCTTTGCCTCAAATATACCTCTGTCATAAACTGTCTCTGATTAATTCTACTTAATATTATTTCTCTTAGTATTTTTATTGTTTGTATTATTCACCTGTATTTGACTGTGAATACTGATTTTTTTCATATATATATGCCCTGACTTAATAAACTTAAGTATATATTACTTATATATATATATTTATACCCTTTCTACCCTTTTCTAAGACCTCCCCCAGGCTTTCATAAGGATCGTTAATGACAGTGTCCCCACTCATGTCTTTTTCCAGACATTGCAATATACAAGCTCCTAGCAAAGAACCTAGTGTTCACAGCAGATATTCAACAAGTATTTGATTAATTAATAAGGAATAGGAGCTCTGTCAGGGCAAGTCCCTTTCTCCATATATGAAGAGAAGGTTCTTTCTCTCTTTCTCTATATCTCAAGTGGCATTTTGGCCAGGAGCACTTAAAGAAACTGCCTTTCCTGAGTTATTAACGGATGTAATAACCACCAACTAAATCCCCCATTGGTTAAATATTGAGGTAAGCTTGCTTAACTCAGGCGAAATTAGAAATCATGGTATCAAAAGAAGCAGTTCACTTTAGTTTGTATGTCTGTCTAAACAAAAATGGCACAACAGAACTGCTATGCAGTTTGAGAGACGTTGTTGAGAATGGTCCCTTGAGATGGCATATGTAAGCAAGACAATATCTAAAACAACCGATGAGAGGTTCCAGGTCAACCCAAATTGGCTTAGAAAAGTCCCATTGACTAAATGTCTTGTTTAAGCTTTGGAAATGTGCCCTCAATGGTATGTGGGTTCATAAGGGAAGCTGAATTTCCGAACTGATAATCCGCCTGCTAGGGGAGGGGTGGGGAGTGGGACTGACACCCGGTAGAAGAGAAGCAGCCAGACTAGGTTGGCTTCCTTGCTTTCTTTTGTTCACCTCTTCACTGTGGGTAGGGAGAAGTGTCAAAGGCATGTTTTGTCTGTCAATCTGCCAAAGTCTTAATAAAAAAAGGCAAGGAGGGAATAGACTGAAAAAGACTAAGACAAAACTTCAACACATCTACCCTCAGAAACCACAGAACTCGATTTTGTGTTAAAAACAGAGTGGAGGGCACACAACAGAAACTTGGGAGCTTTTAGTGTTCCTTTTTCCTGATTAAATGCAGATCACATAAGGGCTCCTAATGGGAAAAAGGGAGTATAGCTCCCGGTACATCTGGTCCCTGGTATTAATCTTAACCGTCTAGTGATATTAAGGCAAGTGGCTTCTGGGGCAGCAAATACCTGCAATGATGACCGAGTCAGTTCGGGCTGGGCCAAATTTCAATGTCATCTCATGCTTGTGTTTATGAACTGCCAGGTGGTCCTCATTTGTAAATCTCTGAAACAAAACAGAAACGGAGATGTGAAGAAAAAAAAAGGCAATTCAGTGCCCTTTTAAAATGTCCTACCAAACATCTTGCAGTAAGGCTGGTTGCTAGAAAGAGGGCTGGACGGGGAATGGAAAGGAGAAAAAATTCGAAGTGATGGAAAAGGAGAGGCAATGGATTTAAACAGAGAAAACAGGGAAGGAGAAACAGAGGCACTAGAGAGCTGCGAGGAGAGAGGAAGAGAAAGATAGTAGCACCAACTGCTCTGTAACGTTAGGTCCAAATGAGAGAAATGGACAGATTGTTCGTGAAGTGGGATCCAGCCAGGAGGCTCCAAAAGAAAAAAACAAAAACCAAAAAAACATTAAGGCAAACTTGTAACAAACAAGGGGAAAATAATTTTTAATAATAATAATAATAAAGAGAGAAGAAAGGAAAGGCTGGGCACTCATTGGTCATCACAAAAACAGGAAATTCAGAATGAAGCTTTCCATATTGGGGCTGAATTGGACTATTTATGAGGGGTCTAACAGGGAGATAAATTATGCAGGATTAGGAGAACCATTTAACTTCCTGGCCCACACAATGCTGCAGCAGGCGCCTGCCCAGCTATTTGGATCAGGGTTTTAATGAGTCAGGATGGAGCTGTAGAGGACAGAGGCCCAATGGCCAGCAGTAATGGCACACACACCAGCCCCATTGGCCAAATGCTGTCGTGGGCAGTCCGCCTGGGCACCATCAGCCATAAAGGGACAAGTGCAATGCTGCTGGCTATAGAATGGTAGAATAAAAATGCAAGCAAAAAGTTGTTTTTTTGTTAGGGTAGGGAGAAGCCTGCAGGCAGGATGAGGGGAAGGGAAAAGGAGATTTTATAGATTTTATTTATTTAGGGGTTTGGGTGAAAGGGCAATGAAAAGGTGAGGCTAGGTCTGCCTCAGTTTATGACGAAGGAAGACAGGGTTACTGGACAATAATGTATGCTTCGACCCCTTCTCTAGAAGGGGGAGGTGAAGAGAACAGATGAACAGCAGTAATTCAAAAGAATGATACCCACAAAATTCCCTTTGAGGCTGGCTGCCCATGTTCCTTCATTAAAACATGCTGCAACACAGTAACAGCTTGAATGCTGCAGTTTTTCACAGTTCCTTCACCAGCCAGCTCTGAAACACGCTTCTATTTGTCTTTTGTTTCTAAAAAAATAATTTTTTTTTACTTTCCTCATTAGATACACATTTCCCACTGAACACTATACTTTTAGCCCTTTTTTCCACAGCTTTTCTTCATTGCAAACTAAATAGACAGGAGTTGGCCCCATCCTAGCCCCTATCCAGTCAAGAAAGTAACACTGAACTGTTTCTTTTATTTTACCAGAAATGAAAAGAAACTTCCCCCAAGTTTGCTCTGAGCCCTATCATAACTAATGCCAGTTTAAGATCTAAAATTTTTCTAGGCTAGGCATACAGGCCTAAAGGGCTAAGGGAATTTTCATTTAAAAGTATAAAGAACTAAGAAGTAAAACAGTCAAAAGAAGAATGCCTTAGCGGTTTCCAATGCATCTGGGATAAAACTGAATAAAGTGGGGGAAATTTAACAGAGAACTTTAGTGTTCTATACTGTTGGTTAACCCTAAGCTAAGCATCAACTTTTTCGGTCACAGATTTTTCCCTAAGGGAAAAAGGGTGGGGAAAGGAGAGAAGTCTGTTAACTAGGGGTATGGTACTTACAGGGTAAACAAGTCACTAGAGAGGGTCTGGGATTGCCAGGTATTAATTTGGTAAAAAGAAATGAACAGAACCTAGCCTAAGATGGATAAAAAATATTTTAGAGGGACAGGAAGAGTAGTGGATTAGGCAGGGACATACATTTTCAAAATGCACTGGAAATGTTACAACAATTTTTTTTCAAGAATATGTCTATAAATTCTTCAAGGAAATTTCATGTAGGTAGCTTAGAAAATTTTGCATAATGTTCTAGAATCTAGAGGAATGACTTTCAAGCAAAAAATCTTTTTCTACTGTTAGAAATCTAGTTTGCTCAAAATTGAGCTGGGAGATTTTAAACTTCCAAGTTTTGCTCTGGTTAGAATTCTTTAATATTTTAAAAGGTAATTCTCCTTCTGTTACAGCTTTGCTACACAGTCCTGACTTGTCTTATTTGTCCTCTAGTTCTCGGTCCTCTCTGTTGCACACTCCCTACTACCTTCTACTTCACCCAGATCCCCCTTAAGATATTTTATTTTCCCAAATCGAAAGTTGGAGTCTGAAGAGAAATTAAGGTGGCATCAGCATCTCAGAGGGTTTGATAACTGTAAACATGGATAGGAAAAAAATTACATCTTTATTCTCACTAAACTCTAACTGCATTTAACATTACTAATTTCATAATAGATATCATACTTTCATATCACATTATAGCTATCAAATATCTTAAAGTATCCTTTATACTCACCATTACTTTGAAATTATGGTAGTCACCAGACCCATCATTAAAACTCGTTATTTAATGCATTAATTAAAAAATGCATGAAAATTAAAATGTACATATATTACATTATCAAATATTTAAAAAATTTTTGATAACTGTATTTAAAAATAATTAGTTTCCTTTGTAATCCTATGTATTTTATTAACTTAAAAACATTCTGAGAAGAGGTTTAATAGGCTTCATCAAACTACCAATGGAGGTCATGACATCACAAAAGTTAAGAAACCCTGACTAAACTGAGTAGTATGCTTCAAAGGAGGAGCCAAATGGGCAGAATTTTTAGAAGCAAGGTCTGGTCTTGGATCCAGTCATCTTTCCCTGCAATTTCTAACACAATTCTTGTACGGCTAGAATAGGAGGGGGAGAATAAAAGTTTACTAAAGCTTTTTATCAAAGTGAATGTCAATCTGACTATTATTTCATTGTTCCTTATATTCTCTCATTTATTAATAGTTAACTCTTAATTCTCTACATTAGTCTTGAACTGCATACTTAGGAAGTTATCCCTCTGAAAGCAAATTCTCAATTAAAATATCTAAAATTATTAAGTGATAAAAAACTTTGATTTTTAAAAATATATTCTATTGAATTAAAATGGATGAATGAGCTCCCCAAAAGATTTCCTTTGTGAATTGTTGCGCATTAAAAAAATCTAACTGTTCACTTGTTAATACCCTTAATGGGTCTTCCTTTGTTGTTTGACTTTTACCTATGACGGAGGTTTTAGCAATGAGCCACTCAGGGAACACTCACTCTGGTTATAGGGCAAATAATGGTAGTTTTCAATAAATTTGTAAATATTAACCATTTCCAAGACACAGAGGTCTATTATCATTTAAAATGGGGGCTGAAAATTTTTTCATACTGGATCAGAAAGGCAGTTTAGAAGCCTTGAGAAGATTTGTATGGTAATAAGTTTAGAGTCTTATTTTGCTCAAGTAAATGATTCAGGACAGTTTATTAGTATAAACGGGGGAGGGAAAGTATTATGTGCTAATATGCACCCTATCTAGTGACCAAGATGATTTAGATCGGCCCTATCCAATATGGTAGCCACAATTGCAAGTGGCTATTGAGCACTTGAAATGTGGCTAATCCAAATTAAAATGTACTGTAAGTCAAAAGATGTACTGGATTTCAAAGAAATGTGAAATATCTCATTATGTTGATTACATGTTGCAATGAGAATAGTTTGGATATATTGGGTTAAATAAAATATTAAAATTAATTTCCCTTATTTTTACTTTTTAATGTGGCTTCTAGAAAATTATAATTACATCTGTAGCTTGCATTTGTGGTTTTCATTATATTTCTTTTGAACAGCTGTGATCTAAATAATATGCCCAAAGATCTGATAGGAATTTTAATCATATACCGATCTTGAATCTTTCCCCCAAAACCGATTTTCTCTAAATGAACTTTATAAACTATATAGCAGTGACTCTCAACCAGAGGTAACTTCACTCCCCAGGAAACATTTGGCAATGTTTGGGACATTTTTGTTTGTCTCAAGTAGACAGATGCTTCTGACCTCTAGAGAGTACAGGTCTAGGATGCTGACAAATTTCCTATAATGCACAGAACAGCTACCCCAAAACAAAGAATTATCTGACTCAAAATGTCAATTGTAACTCTGTTGTGAAACCCTGCTACAGGGTTACAGGGAAAGACAGAAACAAGAAAAAAAGACTGTTTTTTAGTTTTTGCCAAATGGCTAACACATGTTTTTGGATTTGAAACTTGGAAGGAAAAGAACAGGCAGAAAACTCCCAACCTCACTTTATAAAATGGCTGATGTACTACAGATCTGAAACTACTTAGGGAAATTAGGATGATGGAGACAGAAGGCATTGTAATTGGGAGAACAGATTAAATGGAATTCTCATGCACTGCCATGTTAATAACAAAGAGATAATGCAGAAGAAGCAAATCAAAACAATTTTGGCTATTTCTGATTTTCACTCCCTGATAGAGAAAAAAAATAGTGAGAAAGGAGATTTTCTTAGTTTAAGAAATGGTAAGAAGCCAGTCTGAGGAAGTCAATCTGAAAAGTGGTATTAGTCGCAGAATGTGCGGGAAAAGTATAGTTTCTTATTGACAATTTTCCATGGGAGATCTTTGGTTAAAACACTTTCATTTCCAGGAAGTTTCATTCTTGCCCATCCTCTGCGATAGGAGAATCTGGAATCCTACCTACTAGCAAACTGACTAAATGAACAGAACTAAGTAAAGAGGAATGCCTTGAAGAACACAGATGGTGGGAACTGAGTATCAAGAATACATTTCAATGAATGAAGTCTTAAGATTTTTGATTTAAAAAAGTGATGTATAACATACTAAACACGAATCTTAAGTGTACAGCTCAACAATTTTTTATATAAGTATATGCCTGTGTAATCACAACCCAGATCAAGGGGAGTGGAGGGATGGGCAAAAAGGTGAAGGGAATTAAGAGGTACAAATTTCCAGTTATAAAATAAGTAAGTCATGGGGATCTAATGTACAGTATAGGGAAAAGAGTCAATAA